CCTTGGGGAGCGGTTCCTCCTTTGCGATCTGGACCTTCCTCTCTTGGGCGTTCGGGATCTTTGCCTCGGACTTGGCGACCTTTCCCTTTGATGCCTCTGCTCGTGCCGATGCGGTCTGGTGTCCAAACGACTCTTGAGGTCGCCGGGCGCTAGATACTTCAGGCTCGCCTTGAACTCCCGACACTCTGTGGTGTCATGTGTGGGCATCTGGTGCCAGTCACACCATTTCCGGTCCTCCTCCCTCCTGTGCGTCTGGTGCGCATTTCCTTCGCCTTTGCTGTCTCTTCTTTCTTCTCGGCTAGCGGTGAAAACCTCTCTCCTGTTGTCCCGGTGTGTGTACCGGGGTTTATAATTCCGCCTTTCAGGGGACCGCCCCCTCCTCTTGGGCGAACCGCCCTTCTTCTTCTCGCCTCTCGTACTGGCGCGTTTGCTAGCGTCTTCCGCAACCATAGCTTCCTCCAGCAGGATTGCCTTTCTCACTAAGCGATCGAGATCAGGCCATTCCTTTAGCGCATGCTCCTTCTTGATAAGCGCTCTTCGCAGCTCATGGCTGTGGGTGGACATACGCAGGTTTCCCGCCGCCACACTTGGTGAGATGCCCTGCACTTCACCAGCTATTGTGTTCCACCTATCGTAGAAGTCCGCAAGCGGCTCGTCTCCCCCTTGCTTGCAGTTTATCAGTGACGATACCGTCAGCTTTCTCCTTCGCTGGGACGCGAACTTCGAAGAGAAAAGGGTCGCGAACTGCTCGAAGTCTTCAATTATTCCCTCTGGCAAGGATGTGTACCAAGTTCTACACTGACCGCCAAATGTGACTGGGAACGCCTTGCATAAATCCGCGTCCGTGGCGTTGATGAGCTGCATTTTTAGCATGAAGGCGCTCAGGTGATCAGCCGGGTCCGAGTTTCCATCGTACACGGGTAGCCCGAGTGATGAGAAGTTCGGGGGAACTTGAGTTTTGAATAAGCTCCTAGCCAGTGGGTTTTGGAGGATGGTGGGCCCCTTGGTCCGGCCATATGTGGGTCTGAGGTGCTCCTCCAAGAATCCCAAGCTAGGATCCTCGGCGTCTTCTTCTTCGTCGGACTCCCCGCCTTCTGTCCGAGCAGGGCTGTCGGGATCGCCTTCTTTTCTCTTTCCTTTGTTCAGCCGCTTTCCTGAGCTTCCAGGCGTCTCGCTTTCCTTCTCTTTGAGCATGGCCAAAATCTGGCCCAGGCTCTCTTGCATGCTCGATATTTGTTGTCCCTGGCTTTTCACGCGGTCCTCCATTTCCATTTCTTCCTCCACAGTGGGCATTTCCAATCCTCGGATGCCACTCGCCTGCACATCTGGACCGCTAGGGTTGCTTCTCCCGATCATGTCTTTGACAGGGGTGTTGGAGCTCCCATCCATCCTTTCTTCAGCGCTATCTCTCGCCCCACGGTGGGCGCCAAATTGTTTGAGCCTAGAATGTTCTAGGCGGTCTTGAGAGGAACGAGCGACGCGTCTGTTCTAGAGGATGGGGCACTCCAATGCTCCTGCAAAACAAGGGTCCTTGGGCGGTCGCCCTGGACACCCTCCGATGCTTAAGTTAGAGATGGACTAGAGAAATTGTGTTTTTGGTTAGAGAGAGAGAGAGTAGTTGGTTTACCATCAATGCAGATATGAATGTATTTATAGTGATCTGGTCTGGGCTTCGGGCATTAAATGCCATTGTCAGGCGTCCTAGATCGACCCTTCTTTATCTAGACCGCCTACGGCGGGCAATTAATGCTTAGTCCTGCGGTGTTCGAGGTGAGTATCTTGGGAAGATCTCACCCTATACCGAGTAACGGCTCCTTGTGTCAGGCGGCCTACTACCTGTCCCATCCTAGGGCGGCCGCCCTCCTTTCTCAGTTCCCCATGCCTGCTTCTCGGGCCTCCCGACGGGCCTCTCTCCTTGGGCTTTCTGTGGGCTCACAAGCCCAATACCGCTCAGCTATGGCCCAACAGTTACCCTACCCAATGTAATTCGGATTTTACTCATACACATACCCACACAAGAAGCAAGTAGAAAATCAAAACCATGTCAATACCCTTTCGGGTTTCGAGTATCCACGGTTATCCAAGGGTAATAATTTTTTTTTAAAAGTCCAACCAATATGCTAACATTTACACGTATACTCACATTACGTAAGAGGAAAAGTACGACAATAATCACTAAAATGAAGAAAATTAATTAAAACAACACAAATTCATGAAAATATTATATTTATATGCTAAATTTAAAATATGATAGAGAAAATAATGATTATTTCTAGACAAAATACATATGCATGTGTATAATCGGACGGGTTCGGGTTTGATAGTGAGAAAATCATGCCCACCCATTACCCACAATATTTGGGTTCAGACTAAAAGTCTTTCAGGTTCGGGTTTTACCCAACCCGATTATGTCGGATTCGGGCGGATATCCACGGTTACGGATATTTTTGACATCCCTAATATCAAGAGTACAAGAGTTATACAGAAAAATACTACGCATGAACCCCCTACAAGCGACACTCTAGTGAGCCCATCCAAAAAAGTTGAAAGACTCTAACCGGTGCTTTAGGCGCACCTCTATAGGTTGTTGGCGACTACGAACCACACTAAACTCTATACAAACTGACAAGAATCTAGGATCTGACGACACTCCAGGAGCACCAGACCTCCAAATGAATCTTCTATGACACCTTCCTAGAACTGGTTGACGAACACCACGGAATCACCTTTCACTATCACGTGAGTCAAGGATCTTGAGTCGACAATGGTGATAGACTGATAGCATATATTACTGCTAGGAGCTCTGCAAGGTAGGGGTTGACTACTCCCTAGTGACACATACCGGCTGCCAACACCACATGTCTGTCTAATCCACGAATAACAAGACCATACGAGTATCTTGAGTCACGAATAGCTGCATCGAAGCTGATCTTCAAATAATCGTCTAGTGACGATTCTCGAGTGGCTGGAAGAGGATTAGGAAGGAGCGAACTGGTGGTGGAGGTTGAGGGGTGAATATTGGAGTCTAAAAACTAAGAATATGCATAGTAGGGTATGCTCATTAATTAATACCAGTCAAACTCAATCCGTCGAGGTCAAATGTAGAAAAATACAGTCAAACTCAAATATCAAAACCCAAAAATGAAGGGCACTACATTGCAAATAGCTAGAGAATAGAGATTGAGAATTGAAACTTATTAAAATTGATTACTTGTGCCGTTTTGTTGTCCACTGAGAGTTTGAATCAACCGGCCAGCCACCATCGAATTAGTGGATACATGGAAATTAGCATTAATTACTTCAAAATATAAAACTTTTTTCTTATTCAATTTTTTTCTATGAAGTTTGTGCCACAGTAACTCTGTTAACTTAATATTGATTCAAATCTTATAAGATAACTGAAACAAAAATAGCCGCGGATCCAAGATAGGATAGAGCACTGGGCCACCTTTGAAAAAAGATAGAAAGGGTTGGGCCATAAAGTGAAAAACACTAAAACAAATACCAAAAATCAGAAATTATAAGTGTTATGCTAGCTCGAAATTCAGAGGAGGACTGGGCCGCGGCCCGGAGGCGGTCCCCTTGATCCGCCGCTGAACAAAAAGGATGGTATAATGTGAGGATGATATTTTAATGTTTCAAGGTTAGCACCGCCTATTAGGGGGAAAAAAATATGTATATGTTATTAGCAATGTACTTGTAGTTAAACAAAACCAAATTAGCATTGTAACATAGTGTTGATGAGTCCTGAGTCCTAAACATTTCATGTTAGGATGACAATTCTACCTACAATCGCGTGCATCTAACATTTTCAATTAAGTCAACAACGGATGTTTCTGCGGATACATAACAAGTAGTAGGAACTCAAAAGCTCAAATCATAAAATGCTTCTACAAAATTCAGCGGGACCAAACTAGCCCATTAATCGATTAACTAGTAGTAGGAACACCAACAAAGAAAATAGTGACGATGTGTAGGGAGTGGGAAGAGCGCAACTCTAAGCTCACGACTTTCCAATTCCATCAATACATTGTTATGAACCATTTGGTCCCAATAACTCGAGTTGTTGAAAGAGACTCATATGTGGTGTTTAACCGCTTCATTACATACATGTATTTTATATAATGGCATTTTCCTCAATTCCCATAATAATTAAATTTTTGTTACATTTCACGTATTCTTTGACGGGCTCGTCCACAGCTTTAACTGGCCCCTAATCCCGCTCTTGGCAATGCTCGTCGAAGCAATATGGGTACTGTCCAAGACGGGATTTTGTCCTTACTTTTGAGACAACACAAAATCAAAACCACCACCCTCATTTGACCATCTTAATTAACTAATTAATTAGCTTATTCACTAAAATATCCACACATGTAATTAATATTCTTATATTGTAAACCCCATCCCTATCGTCAACCGCCTTAAGGTTTTTATCCCCCAAAGAACATAACCGGAAAAATCAAAGCAGGGTTGGCTTCAGTATCTCAATACACATAATTACCACACAGATAAATAAATTACCTCCTTAATCAATCTTCCCATACCAGGAAAACTTATTAGCTTCATCACCCATTGCATCCAATTCCATTCTTCTTTCTCCTCTCCATGCTTCATTTTTTTTTTCTTTCTTTCCTTTCCTTTTTTGGCCTTTCCTACTTACTTTGCCTCCCATTTCCAATTTTGCAATTGGACCTTAGAGAAGCAAGAAGGCCGGCCACAAAATCTACTATGCGGAGGAATGTGCGTGTGAAGAGAAATTCAAAGCTGTCACCATTTCAGGCTTCATAGTTGGTGCCTTTTGCCAAAGCATACTTCGAGACTAGAGTCTCCCACTTCCACTATAAAACCCTCCCTCCACCTTCCTCTAAAACCTCCCTCACCCTCTTCATTTCTGCTCCCAAAGTTCCATTCTTTCCCTTCTTCCCACTCTTCCCAACCTTTCTTTTCTCAGCGACCAAACAGATACAGAGCCAATGTGCCAGCAGCAAGTCTCCCTTCCCATGAGCCAGGGAGATGACCACCAACCCCAATGCTGCTTCCCACAACCCCACCTTGTCACCATCAAACACAAACAGCAACAACAACCCAACAACATGTCCACACCATTGATCTCCAAAACCCCAGCAACTTTAGATACTGATGCAACTGCCACTAAACCAGCAACAAGATCACCCGTTGTTGCAGAGGCAATCTCCATAGCCAGAATAGCCTTCCCGATGATCCTAACAGGGTTACTCCTCTACTCCCGCTCCATGATCTCCATGCTCTTCCTAGGCCGACTAGGCGAGCTCAACTTAGCTGGGGGCTCGCTTGCCCTAGGCTTCGCCAACATTACGGGCTACTCCATCCTGTCCGGTCTTGCCATGGGGATGGAGCCTATATGTGGCCAGGCCTTTGGTGCAAAGAAACACCGCCTCCTCGGTATCACTCTGCAACGAACGATCCTGCTTCTGATCCTAACTTCCTTACCCATCACTTTCCTATGGCTAAACATGAAATCAATCCTGTTGTTCTGCGGGCAGGATGTGGAAATCGCATCGAAAGCACAATTGTACCTAATTTACTCTGTTCCAGACCTTCTAGCCCAATCTTTCCTCCACCCGCTGAGAATCTACCTCAGAGCTCAATCCATAACCTTACCACTAACATTCTGCGCCACGATTTCCATTCTCCTACACATACCAATCAACTACTACCTCGTCACCCACCTTAATTTGGGGATCAAAGGCGTCGCCTTGAGTGGGGTATGGACCAATTTCAACCTCGTCGCTACCCTAATCCTCTACATCATCTTCTCCGGAGTCTACAAGAAGACCTGGGGTGGATTCTCCCTCGAATGCTTCAACGAATGGAAGTCTCTCCTCGATTTGGCTGTCCCTAGCTGCATCTCCGTCTGCCTCGAGTGGTGGTGGTACGAGATCATGATCCTCCTCTGCGGTTTGCTGATAAACCCTAGAGCAACAATCGCTTCAATGGGGATTCTGATCCAGACCACTTCGCTAATCTACATCTTCCCGTCTTCCCTGAGCTTCAGCGTCTCGACGAGGGTGGGGAACGAATTGGGCGCGAATCGGCCGGGGAAGGCGAAGACGGCCGCCGTCGTGGGACTCTGTTCGAGCTTCTTCCTCGGGTTCGCGGCGCTGAGCTTTGCGATTACCGTGAGGAAAATCTGGGCGACGATGTTTACGACGGACGAAGAGATTGTGGCGTTGACGGCGATGGTTCTGCCGGTCATCGGGCTGTGCGAGCTGGGGAATTGCCCGCAGACGACGGGGTGCGGGGTTCTGAGAGGGACGGCGAGGCCGAGAGTCGGGGCGAATATCAATTTGGGGTGCTTTTACCTGGTCGGGACTCCGGTCGCGGTTTGGTTGGCGTTTTGGGCCGGATTTGACTTCCAAGGATTGTGGCTCGGCCTGCTGGCGGCCCAGGGGTCGTGTGCGTTGACTATGTTGGTCGTTTTGGGCCGGACCGATTGGGAGAGGGAAGCTCGGAGGGCCGAAAAGCTGACAGGCGATTGGGCTCGTCATCATTATGACGTGGATCAGGAGGTGGAAGATGATATTAATAAGAAGGATTTGGCAACTAATTATCATAACGGTGAAATCGAGGAGGATTGTTTATATTCTTTTGGTGACAAATTGGATGGAAAATACTCAATTGTTTAATCCATATAATTTTTTTGTTTGTTCTTTCAATTATTTTTTACAAAGATAAATAGTTTATACAGATAGAAATGATGGATTGATGGTAACAAAAATTTGAACTCAATTTGAAATTTCTTTTGTAATCATGAGATCTTTTGTCAAAGCTATGGCCCTATGAAGTCGAGTGTCGACTCAATAATAGTAGTATTAGACACGTGAGTTATGTTATACGAATGTGATTTATGACACATTGTAAGTGGAATTCTCATTTTTTATGATAACAATAATGAAATTTGTATTAGAAATCTCTCTGCTCAGGGTTGATATATCACCATTCAGTTATTGTTAACAAACCGGATATGACAGAAACAAAAATTAAAGACAGAACATCAAATTTACGTGATATCCTTGAATGATCAGGACTAATCCAGCAAAGAGCAGAAAACTGAGAACGATGATATACTAGTACACACCAATGACTGCTACAGTTATGCGAAGTATGCTATATCTAGCCAATCCCTTTAGGTTGTTGATATCCTAATCCACGTTCTAACCTAAGTACTTGGGCGACATTTGCAAAACGGAATACAAGTGGGTTGTACAAAGTTGGGCCAATAACAAAGGCGTATGCGGCTAACATGCACCCTCCCTAAATTGACGTCGATCTCGCAACATCACTTTTTCCCAATATATCAGTGACGACTCGTAGGGAAAGCCTTTTTGAAAAAATCGGCAACATGTTCCTACGAATGAATGTGATGAAGCAGTATGGTACCATCTCGAACCATATCGTGAATATAATACACATGTATCTCAATATGTTTTGTCTGATCATGCAGTACAAGATTAACTGCAATACGGATAGTACTAGTATTGTCAACATGAATATTTTACATGAATATTTTGTGGCAAAGGACAAGTAATACCAAAGTCGAACAAATTTCGACATAAGATCCTCAGTCGAGACTTCATGAATATTCACATAAAAATCGATCAAGATTAGAGAATTTGATCGTCATACGGGGTACGATGTGTGTCAAGTTTCACTTGGGATAAAAAATATTTATCCACTAATTAAATATCTTTATCCAATAATATGAACTCTAAATAATTGATTAATTGAGAGTTTGTCCCAACTCTAGAAGGACGAATTGTTATATGTTGTATAAGATAATAAATTTGAGCGCCTTGGTTAGCAAATTTTGATATATTATTCTAAATGGAACGTGATAAACCTTTAAGATATGATTTGTGATTAGAGAATCGAAACATCACATGAGAATGTGTTAAATATTAAGAATTTTAAATAAAGGCATATCGCATACTCTCTTATGAAGTGAGAGTATAAACAATCTAGAAGATTCAAAATTAAAGATTGTAAACATCTAAATTATAGCTTTATCGGAAATGAAACCACAAATCCACTCAAAACCACCCATGGGTCGTGGGTGATTACTATGGGTGGGTGTGGGTTGTAAAATAAGTGACCCACAAAAGATTGGGTGGGTGCGGGTGGACTGTGATTGACCTACGACCCACCCAACTTTTGAACCTCAAACCATCAAAGCTCTAACATATAGCTTTATCGAAAATGAAACCCTTAAAATCACAAAAAAAAATTCCTCTCAATTTCAACCAAAGGATTGTGGTGTGAGCTGTGCTTATGCATTGGAGGTACGCTTAAGCATAAATAGTAGACAAATGGCAGAGAAAGACAGTTGTCTTTCCCAAAATGATACCATCTCAAACTACCACTGATTCGTCCTTCATTCCTTCCATCAATTTGGAATTGTAATTTGTGACAACAGCTTAGAAAGATATTTACGCTCACAACGCATAGGCAAATGAGGCGTTAGGCAAGACCAAAACATTTGTATTAACCTTGATTATTATCAAGTTTAGATGTTATCAGTTGAATAATTTGTAATTTTTGGACATTTACCAAAATCAATAATGTAAAATAAATAATTCACCTGATTTATGAATTAGGTGTTATTTATTTTGAAAATTCTTTCATTTTGGGTGGTGTGGGTCATTTTCTATTTTACCCAACACATAATGGGTAATTACTAATTCCAAATTCACCAAATTCGCATAAAACCACCCAATGCTCATTTCTAGCGTAAAGGGTGAAGGACGGAAGAGGAAGTAGTTACGGTTGAGGGGGACCTTAGGCTGGTTGTGGAATGTGGAGTAACTGGAGTTGGTTTGCAAATAACCAAATCAAACAAACCAGAAACCCCAACCGAACCCGGCAACTATTGATTTGGCTGCCACCGACAGCTGACCAATATTTCATTTATCTGCCTTTTGCTTCCCCAATCAAACCCCCATTTTAGAAGAAAAAAATTCCCATTTTCCTTCCAATCAATTATAAATCTTTCATTCTAGCTTGACTTTTTCCTGGTGTTCGATTAGAAGAGTATAAAGTTTTTTGCTTAAAAAAATAGTATAAATACCCCATTTTGTTATTTGATGTTATATGATGATCCTATGATAATCATAATCGGGCGATAATATATTCATTTCAATTGTAATTATGTTATTTTGTAGAAAATTGTGTTAGGTGGACTTGTTGTTATTGGAAGCTCAATGGAGTTGTCCATTTAGTAACACAACAAACTCTTCTATTAGTAGGTCGACTATCATCTAATTTCAATATTTCATTATTAAGTTACTTGTCACTAATTTCTCTTTGGTGTTATTTTGAATGTCTTCTTGGCTTGTTTATTGTCCAAAAGAATTGTACCAATAGGTTATTTACAAAATACTAGGGCTGGGCATGCGGGCGGATCATCCGCGGGTTTGGGCCGACCCATCCGCATTTGACCCGAATTTCGTTAAGTGGGTGGGTCTATGGGTGGGTGACGGGTTGCGCTGGGAGCCATCCGCCGGGTGATGGGTGGGTTGTGGGTGAGTGTGCGGGTGACCCGCTCAACCCAACAGCAAAAAGATCAAAGTCGTTGGAGCTAGAGAGAGGAGAGTGGAGACGTTAGATATAAACTCGGATTGCTCCTGGAGTTTGAACCTCAAAGCCAACCTTCCAAATAGAGATCCCCTCTTCTTCCCTTTACTTTTTCCTCTAATTCTTGTGCCTAGATCACCGCTTTTTCCTTAGTTCCTTGCACCTAATAATCGTCTCAATATGTAGAAAACTCTTTCATAATAGAATTTCTATCCAATTTAAGAACTAATTCGACATTTTTCGCCCTATTTCAACTTCTTGTTTCCCTCGATGATTCTCTTCACCTATTATCATGTCAAGTTGACTCATTTATATTATATACATTGTGATGTGGGTGAACCCACAAACCCACCCGCATCATCCACCATCCGCCCGACCCAACCCGAGACTAAATGTGGATGGGTGGTGGGTTAAATTTTATCAATCCGTTTAAGCGCGGGTGGGTGCATTTTATGGTCAAAATCCACCCGACCCACCCAATGCCCACCCCTACAAAATACTATTCCCTTTGATATTTTAAAAAGATACTTAGGTCTTCTTATTGACATGCTAACTGTTGGGAGACTACCACTTACGATAGTAGTGGTAATTTACCACACTGCTAAAACAATATCACTCTAATGATAACAACCAGATATGTGTCGGCAAATAACCCAAAATGTTTTCAAGAGTCCTCAGTTCATGTTTAGAATCATATATCGAAAAGAATATTATTTCTTCTCATCTAATCTTACATATTGAATAACCAAATATTAACAACTCAAAGGCATATGTAGAACAACAATGGTGTTGGTCCATTGCTCTCAATAATATATGGCTAAGTTTTTCCCTAAAATCTTCGCTCCAAATGAAGAAATTGGCTTTACTTTACCTTTCTCCTCCTGATTTTTATAATCCCAAAAAACCTCATCTTTTGCCTCTTTTTTCTACTATCCTTTCCTTCCCCATTGCCATTAGTGTACTTTACCGTATAAGCTTATAGCTCCAGCCTCCGATGGACAGGGAGATCTTCTCATCATTCATCAACCCCAATATTGGCAAAAACCTAGCTGTCCATTTACACCTCTAACCCAACAACACCTGCTGCAGCATCCCTATGAAGGAAAAGTCACCATCCACACCCAAAAAACAAACCCACCAAACATATACCAGATGATGTCCAGTTGTAGGATTCCCATTTGACAGCAGGAAGGAGAAGCTTTTATCAGAATCCCATGATCACATGATTGGCTGAAGGAACCCTGAACCCTGCCACATGGTTTCTTGGGATTGAAGCAAACCCACCAAATGGCACAGCCTTGCTCGCTAGCTATAGGTCGAGAGAGAAGGAAGGAAGAAGAAAAAGAAAGCACAACATGCCTTGCCCAGCACTCATTCTGTTTGGCAGCTGATCAGTTGGTATTGGAGGCAGTTGAGGGTCCAAAACGAACAAACCCCATTATAGCTCTCTCTCTCTCTTTCCCTCACACAACCACAGCAATTAATGACCAAAATGGAAAGGCTTTACTGGGTCTGGAAACACCCACTCTCTGCCTTCAAAACCAGACCATTTAGAGGCCATGCCTCAGAAGAGGACCTGACTCAGTTACTTCCTCTCATCATTTCACTCTGACACTTCCATTGTGTAATCATTGGTCTGAGTGCAGTTGCATGATTGTTTCTCACAACCCACTTTTTGTCAGCCTGTAGCCAATCCAGGAAGCAAAGTATATATGCATATAGATATTGTTGCAGACATGAAAGTTGCATCTGTAAGTCGCCATAGAGAAACCCAAAAAAGTTCGATGAATTTTGCCACAGCAAGAAATGAATCTGCCAATGTACATACAACATTATAGAACAGAACAAGATGATGGAACAGAGAAACTTGACTGGCTGCTGCTGCTGCTGCTATCATTTTTAGTAGTAGAGAGCCCCCCATTTTTATTCCTGGTGGAACTAAAAGAAGTAAAAGGGGAGGGGTGGGCTAATAAATCTAAGTACATGAAAGAATTATGGAAACCCAAGCTCAAAAAATGATGAAAATGGAGAAAGAGAAGAAGAAAAAAAAAAAAAAACAGTGTCACAAACCCAAGAGAAAGCACATCCACACACAAGGAACAAGGCACAAGAGGGGGTGAAAAATAGAACAAAGTACTACTGCGGGGATAGAGCTTGCTTGCTGTTTTTTGTTGTTGTTCATTTCATCATATCTCAACCGAAGAAATCCCATGGGAACTTCGGTTGATTATGGGCTGAATTATTGTTGGACGCTGGAGGAGGAATCGCGGCGGACGATGTTCCTGGTGTTGCATCAAATGTTTCCCATTGTGTGGTAACTACCACCGGCCCGGAAGTTGAATGCCTTGATGACTGCTGCTGCTGCTGTTCTTGTTGGTATGCTGCGGAATGGCCAACTGAGTGACTATGTTGCTGCTGTTGTTGTTGGTGCTGTTCGCCATTGGAGTGCTTTGGTGAATGTTCCTCGATCGGAGCTAACCTATGTCCATTGCTTTGTTTGTGTTGATTGTGGTTCGATTTGTTGGTATGGGTTCCATTGCCGTTGGTCAAGGCGGAGTTCTTGACCTTCAACACGTCTAACGTCTCAACATACTTCTGAACTCTCTTCACCTGTATAATTTCAGCCACAATTGAAGTTCAAAAAACAGGAGTAATTTTCAAAAGTTTTCATCTTTTGAAGGATCAAATAATTTTGAACACTTCCTCACCTGCAATTTCCTCTGTAGTTTGACATCTCCATCGCCCATTATCCCATCCAATTTCAGCAGCTCGTTCATCAACAACTCGATCAAGCTCAAAACATCCTTCTCTGCTACCTTCCCACCTTTACCAATAACCGATTCAAGAGCCGAGACCTATAAGAAAGCAACCAAATTTCCACACCCGGATAAGTGTTTGCCAATCGAATTACCCGCCATCCATCGAAGGAGATCAAAGGGGAAAAGTATGCATACCCTGCCCGCGAGGCGGTCGACTTCCAAGCTGATCGCGGAGATGGATTTGGAAGCTTTCTCCATGGTGGCATTCTTTCTCATCTCAAGGTAACGCTTCTCCTGGCTGATTGGGTCTTCAAGCAGCACCATTTTGGACTTGTCTTTCACCCCGGTTATATCCAGAAACGCCTTGGAATCCCTTTCTTTGTCTTTGTAAATCAGTTTCTGGTCTTGATGGTGTAGCCCAGTTGGTCCAGTCAACATCTTCTTCAGCTCCCCTGTTTTTTCATATTTTTCCACACCCAATTCAGATTAAAAAAACCCAAATCGAAACCGGAAAGAGGGCAGAGGGGAAGAAATGAAAAGATTGGATTTTTTCACTTACCGAATGAGGCTTGAGAACTGATGCTGATTTCGTGGTAGGTTGACCCGTACTTGACCCGCACCCGAATTGTCGGTGGAGGAATGGCCCTGTGATCGGAATCCGGGTTTCGCTTCTGAACCAGCATTCCGCAGGGTCTCAGCTCCCACTCTGCTCCCGTCGAATCAGGCGAACCACCAGCCGCCGACCCGCCATTAGCCGTCGCCGCCGTCGGTGGCTTATTCTTCATTCTCATCATCTCTTCCTCTGTTGCCCTCCTCTGCCTCCGGTATTCGAATAGAAAAACAAACACCACAAACCCAACCAAAAAAATTCTGCGACTTCAGATCTCTAGGAAGGAACTAACTTTCCCCGAACCCAATCGATCTCGGACAGAGAAATCAGAGCAGCAGAGGAGATAAAGATTAGGGGGGAAAAAAGGGGGAATTTAATTTCCCCTGTTTTGGAAAGGTTTGACTCTCCTTCTCCTACCCAGCAGCAGCAGCATTACACGAATCCCAGCCCCGACCGCCACGCGTAGGTTCAGGCGTAACTCCCCTATTCTCCACTCTACTACGGCGTCGTCGCAAAATCAACGCGTCTTCCTCACCGGAGAGAAAGAAACTGAATCTCCGATTTTTCCGGGAGAGCAATTCAAAGAGTAACCCCGATGAAGTCTCACCGGCAGACGGAACGACTGAAAATTGGCGGATCTCGGCGGAGACTGTGAATGTAGTAACCGGCAAACAAATAGAGAAAGACAATTGGTACTTGGTATTTATTCACCTCACGAAGAAAAAAGAAAAATCGGAAAGAAAGGAAAAAAGAGTCCCCGCCGGCCGATGAGAAGGCCGTCGGAGAAATGAATGAACAATACTAACAAAAAATGGGCTAACTTGTGAGAGGGGAAGTGGGAAATCCCACAACTGTAGACTTTCAGAGATTCTCTCTCTGTGTGGGAGGTTTGCCGGCCTGGAGATTTCGAGGACGAAGAGAGGGAAAGAAAGAAGAGAAACAGAGAGAGAAAGAGGAAAGAAAATGGGGAAACGAAGAAGTAATATAAAAAAAACGAGTGGACGGCTAACTGAGCTGTTCTTGTTCTGACTTGTGAGCTATATATACCATATTCCTCCTATTTTTTAAATAAAAAAAAGGAAATAGATTATTGACGCGTATTATTGCTTAATTATTTATTATCTGAAATCCATAGAAAAAGAGAAATGAAAAAAAAGACCCAGCTGCTACAACAGCCTACAGAAGCCGCCAGTCGCCCAATCAATCCTACTATTATTTAGCTCTGAACTGAAACCCAAACCTATTAACTACATTTTTTTTACCGCCTTGATTTTGTCAACACAATTTTTACCGCCGTAAAGGAACCTTCCCAGTTGCCGCCACAGTTATTTTCCTACCGGCAAATACCATTTATTTTGTTACAATTTACGCGTCAATACATAATAGATAATAAATTTTGGAATAACTAACACATATTTTTTGCATTTCACGTTATATAATAATTATCTCAAATTAATAACCAGTAACCACACGTTGTTTTTGTTAGTAATTCGTTCGGAATGCATCTATTTATATATGTGAAATTTCAGAGTAAAATTATGTGATTTTTTTAGCTATTTAAAAAAAAAATTGAGCCACCTATTTTAATATGTATCTAATTCAAATCAAACTTCGTCCCATTTCCAATCTATATCATGTCGCGCCGCCGTAATCCTTTCTCCTCATCCATTCATGATTAGAATTTGTGTTGTTTTGATATTAACAGTTCATGAATCTTTCACTTCTATTTTACAAAAAAGTTTATGTATTAACATGAAAAAAAGCGAAGAGAATACGCAGGATGGATGTATAATTATTAGTTAAAAAAGGATAGTCAAGTTACTAATTCGTTTAGTGATACCCAAAACTAAGTAATGATGTAATTTGACTCGTGGCATCACCGAATTCTTACGTGATAATTTATTAATTAGAGAGAAGGCATTGGTTTTTTTGCTTCAGGATTAAATCCGGTAGGGGTGGGCATTGGGTGGGTCGGGTGGATTTTGACCATAAAATGCACCCACCCGCGCTTAAACGGATTGATAATTTTTAACCCACCACCCACCCACATTTAGTCTCGGGTTGGGTCGGGCGGATGGTGGATGATGCGGGTGGGTTTGTGGGTTCACCCACATCACAATTTATATAATATAAAGGAGTCAACTTGCATTATAATAGGTGAAGAGAATCATCGAGGGAAACCAGAAGTTGAAATAGGGCGAAAAATGTCAAATTAGTTCTTAAATTGGATAGAAATTCTATTATGAAAGAGTTTTCTACAGATTGAGACGATTATTAGGTGCAAGGAACTAAGGAAAATAATTCCACAAAGGAAAGAGCGTTGATCTAGGCACAAGAATTAGAGGAAAAAGTAAAGGGAAGAAGAGGGGATCTCTATTTGGAAGGTTGGCTTTGAGGTTCAAACTCCAGGAGCAGTCCGAGTTTATATCTAACGTCTCCACTCTCCTCTCTCTAGCGCCAACAACTTTGATTTTTTTGTTGTTGGGTTGAGCGGGTCACCCGCACACTCACCCACAACCCACCCACCATCCGGCGGATGGCTCCCAGCGCAACCCGTCACCCACCCATAGACCCACCCACTTAACGAAATTCGGGTCAAATGCGGGTGGGTCGGCCCAAACCCGCGGATGATCCGCCCGCATGCCCAGCCCTAAAATTCGGAGCGCTAGCCGCTCGGGGTGAATGTTTGGGTAGGCGATGGCGCACCGGATTTATCGTATGGATGTGCGAACGCGGACTGTGGTGTTGGCCCACGTGTGCCAACCCGGCCTAATCATATTTTTGTGGGCGTCGAAATCGAATAGTGCGTGGTAGTTGCCGAGAGTACACGTGGCAGTCAAATGTGGCGAGTGCTGAGCTGTCTCCTTGTGTGTATGTACCGTACGTGCCAACCAGCCCTACCGGTAGGGTTAGAAGTGTTCGCTTGTTGGTTGAGCTTCCCGCTTCCTGCTCCGTCGTCCCCTCGCCGGAACTGCGACGGAACTGTCGGCTCCTTTTTCCGTTACCACAATACGTCACCGCTTCACTGTTCCTTATCAAAGTCGGCAAAGCCAAAGCAAAGAGATTAGAGCGATGGGATTACTGTCGTCGATCGTCGTAGGCCTTCCTTCCTTAAACGGTGCGTTTGCAGGTTTTGGCAAATAAACAAATTAAATTACAAGTGGCTATCAAACAATAAATAAATTAATAATATAATCATGCAAAAAAAAATGAATAAATTTAGGAGTGGGTGTTGTGTGTAGTGATGGCAATGAGGCGGGGCTGGGCAGTTACCTCAATTCCCATGCCCCGCCCCACGCTATTACGGGTACGGGGCAGGGTGGGTCGACCCACTCTTATATGTTGTTAAAAAAAAATACAAGTAAATTTTACTTTTTACAATAAAACGTAGGGAAAAACATTTTAAGAATGAAAAATATTGATAATAGAATGGATAATTGAGCCTAACAAGTTGAAAGATCGACTCTAACTAGTTGAAGAAAAGTCAAAATAGGAGAAATATGTATAGATATTGTATTGAGATAAAATGAGTCTAGAACGGGACGGGTCGGAAGTAGATACTCATGCCCCGCCCCACGCTACTGTGGGTCGGAAGTAGATACTCATGCCCCGCCCCACGCTATTTATTTGAAATTGCCATCACTAGTTGTGTGTTGAATTGCATGGTTACTTGGGTAGGCTGTCCATATGATAACAGTCCAAAATTCGATAAGAAACGTCAAGTCCATATCAACAACAAACGTGGATTTTTAAGCATCTTGCAAATTAAGTCAAAATAGTAAATAGACATATTACATGAACTAAAGTTTTAAGCGAGTATTTATTTGAGCAACTGGTTGTTTTCGTCGGTAAAAAAACCAGTTGCTCAAATAAATACTCGCAAAAATTAAAAAAATTATGAAAACAACCAAAATGGTTCTTACTGCATTGAAAGATGTTCTATACTTGTATTTTAAAAGTTTGCCTAATCTGTATATCGAAAGTATTCCGTATTTGTTATAGTTTCGTTTCAATCTCACTTTGTTGGTGATGGTAATAAGCATCAATATTTCATAATACATAGAAGATATATATATTTATTAATTCATTATTTTTTTTCCCCACTTCTAGACGAACGTTATTTGCTAAGGTTACGAAAATCCCTACTGCAACTGGTTTTTTTACAAAATAAACCGTAAAACTAAAATACAGGTATTGTCAACTACGTGGAAAAGGAAATACGGAACAACAATGCTGCTGCGGAGTTGGAGAAATTCTTAATTCTCCCGCTCCGTTTCATTCATTCACCAGAAGCAGTTGACGTCACGGGCAGTCAAGTTCCACGTGGCGAGCATCAGCGGCTTCAAAATCCGCGCAGGGAGAATCTAGGTCCCTCTGATTTCACCGTCTTCGTGATCTGGGTAAACTTTCCCCACTGTTCCGACTGTTTTATTAACCTCTTGTTTTTGGCTTTTTTACGTGGACTGTTCTGAGTTTTGACTTTTCTTCCACCGACACTTCTTCTGAGCGGCACGTTTGGCTTGGTGACGACGGTAAATCAGAATTTTTACCCGCGAGTACTGGCCTACTGGGTAACTTTTTTTTTTTTTTTAATGATCGGAGGACAAAGAAGTCCTCGCACGTACGTACGTGCGTGTGACCTACTGATTAAAAGGACATCTGTGTTTTCCGGCGATTTGAAAAGGCCGGTGGCCGGTGGGATGGGGGTCCGGTCCGATTAGGACAGTGTAACCTCTAACTGATTACAAGGAAATTTCGTGCAAAATGATGTTATGTGGAGGATAATCAAGTTCATTGCATTAAACGCAGCTGCATTATCTTAATTTGTCGGTTGTTAATGAATTCTGGAGGGGGGAAAAAAAAGGAGCGTTTTCCTTCATGTCCTGTTGTTGATTACAAAAAATTAGGGATGGTGGTGGGGGGGAAGGCAGAAGTATAGAGGAAAGTGTGTGGAAGTGGAACATACACGTGTGAATTGGCAAATTCTATTGGTGTTCTTGGCACATGCTTATATTAAATTAAATGGTTGACAACACACTTTCGAGTTAGTTTGTTACACATAGCCAAATGCATTTGCAGACCTAGATTGTAATATACTGTAATCATGGGTTAATTGCATGGTTGGTCACTGAAATTACAAAAAACGTTCATGTTTGGTCACTGAAAATATTTAAATCCAATTTTGGTCACTCAAATTAATTAAATGGTTCAAGTTTGGTCACTCTCCGTCTAACTCCGTGAAATTTGTCTGATGTGGCAGTCAACCCCCAAAGTTGACCGTTAACTCAGTAACGTGGCAATTAAAAAATAATTAATAAAATAAATTTTAATCTTCTATCATTTCCAACTCATTTTCACAATAAAATAAAATAAATAAATAAATATTATAATTATAAATTGAAAAGGGACGATTCCCTTTTGGTCGGCGGCGAGGGCGGTGAAGGTGGGCGGCGGAGATGAAGACCGCCTTCCTTCCTTCTCTCTTCTCCTCCTTCCCCACTTCCACCACCACCGCCATCTCCGCCGTGCCGCTGCATCTGACCACCGCCTACATCTCACGTCGTATCTAATTCATCAAACCTTAAATTCCCCCCCAGCTCCAATCCCAACAAAAAAGCCCGTCTCACGTGATTCTTCTTGGTTCTCCGCCCACGCGGCACGCCTCTTTCAATCGATTCAATTTTTCGCGGCGAAGCTTGGGCTCTCACATGCATGATTTTCAAATTTTGGAAGAACGATGGATGAGGAGAAGCAGGGGATCGGCGTATCGGCGGTGAGGGCGATGAGGCTATCTTCGCGGTCGCCGGCCCTCGTTTTGACCGCCGCCCTGGCTGCGCTTCTCTGCTTCCAAATCGCGACGAGAACCGTCTACCCGATTTGGGCGGACCGGGCCCGGGAATCCTTCGAATCGGATTTCCCTCCACGGTCTTCTTCATCTTGTAATGCGCCGAAGAGAGATGAAGACCGCCCTCGCCGCCGCCTTCTTCCCTTCCACGGTCTTCTTCGTCTTGTAATGCGCCGCCGACCAAAAGAGAATCGCCCCTTTTCAATTTATAATTATTATATTATTTATTTATTTATTTATTTTACTTTATTGTGAAAATGAGTTGGAAATGATAGAAGATTAAAATTTATTTTATTAATTATTTTTTAATTGCCACGTCACTGAGTTAACGGTCAACTTTGAGGGTTGACTGCCACATCAGACAAATTTAACGGAGTTGGACGGAGAGTGACCAAACTTGAATCATTTAACTAATTTGAGTGACCAAGATTGGATTTAAATATTTTCAGTGACCAAACATGAACGTTTTTTATTATCTCAGTGACCAACCATGCAATTAACCCTGGAAGTTGAGATTGTTTTGTTGAGATTGTCATTATGCATGTATTGTTTACAATGCATCGTTTTTTTATTTTTTTCAGCAGAAACAATACATTGATTGTTTCTATGATGTGACAGAAACTATCACTCATTTTGAGTGATTGTTATATCTCAACTTTTAGTTGTGTTTGTTGAGATAGTTGAGTTGAGATTGTTTTGTCTCAGCTTTTAGCTGATGCGACATACACAATCGCACATACCAAACGTTGTATTCTACAATGCATCAAATTCGACAATACATGTATAATATTATACATGCATTCTCAACACCTTTAATTTTTGTTACAAACAAATAACATTAAAATTTCCAAAGAGGATGAGGGGATCCATGTCTAAGCCTACAGCTAGCAGCCTTGTTAGCTATACCACTAGCAACAATATATTCCCCCGTCTACCAATCTAAATGTAGCTTAATAGCTATAACAAAAGAATATATAATATACTCTTGCGGTCAATTTATAGAAATTAACAGTTATTCTAAATTAAGAAGTGGCTCTAAATTTTTTAAGAGAGCAGTTAAAAGAAGATTAATTTAGGGCATGTTTTGCTGTTAGATAGAGTAGGTACGTACCAGAAGAAACCAGTTGGGTTGGGTCGCCAATGGTTTCATGTGACTTGGTCAACAACAGCCAGCACGTGGTTGTTTTGTTCTTGTTCCTCCGTTTTCGACTTGGGATTAAAAGCTAATTGTCTTATTTATTTATTTATTTAGGATTAAGTTAGCTACATTTCTGATATCATATCGAGGACTAAATCTTTAATATAATGTTCATCTGATCTAATAAAATGTAATGTAATGGGGCACTGAGGGCGGAGCAAGTAAGCAAGCAAACATTTTGTCTGTTCCATTGTTTCGAGGATTACATCTCTTTTGCTATTTTCAGTCCAAAAGAACATTGAACCAAGAACACAACCGACGATGTTACAAAAACAGACAAAAGATCCCACCTTGGACAGAATTCTTCATGTGGCCACATTAATTAGTTTAATTTAGTTTGCTGCAATTGGGGTTTTCCTTCTTTTTAATTTTACGTGTTGGATGGTAGTTCAAGTGGACGTTTCCTTAACCTTTCCTTTTACCAGAAAATTCCGTAGTAGATGACCTGATGCCAGATCTTCCCCTTTTTATTTCGGTTAGGTCCATCCTCTTCTTCACTTTCAAGTCACTCACAAAATTCTTATTTATGTTGAGGGTAAGGTAACCCGTTGCGAAGTTGAAGGATAGAACAAACTTTCCAATTCAACACGATATGGCGAACAGAAGCATTTTCCAAGTCAGGTGGGATTTTTCCCCTACTTTGATACAGTTGTAAACGTCACGTATGAACAGTTGAAACACAATCATATGTGATGTCAATATCAGAGCATCGTTCGACCGTTCGATAATTACTCTGGATCTAGTTGATAGTTTCAACTTTCTTAAAATATTCACAATATTGTTATGGTTTTATGAGTGAAAGTGAAATGACAATAGAAAGTCGAAAGTCGCCCTATAGCTAACTCGAAAATTGCCGTCCATTTGCAATTTACAGTTATAGGATTGACGATTTGACGTGTACTGTAACTCTAGCAATATATATATACGTACATGCACTCTAGTTTATTGCTGTGTCTAAAATTCTACATTAGTAACACCATCACCACCTCTCTCTATCTCGAAAGTCAAAAATATTTCCTCCTTTAGAGTTCCCTAGCTATATAGTTCACCTGTCAATTGTGGATAAAAAATTAACTAAACACACTGTCTTATTCTTAAACAATGAACAAAAACAGCAATTCTATGTTCTCTCTCCTAATAAACATGAAATTATCAATCTAATAACAATGAAGAGTATGAAAAATATTTTTTTTCTAAATCCGATACATCATGGTCGGGATACGATGGTGATAGAAATCAATATTACCTAACTCGGAGGTTCAAACAGCTCGTCGATTGTAGATGGGAAGTCCAAACCAGCCATTTACTACCATGAAGTCAACTATGCAACCGATCTTGCTTGCTATGATGGTTCAGAAGGTCTTTGAGCCTGGTTTGATTAATGAGAAACAGAGGTTAGGACAAAAGGAGAATCAAGAAAGAGATAATCATTTAGGCATCATGTCATGTTGGAATGGAGATCCAATGTGTTGGGCCCATAGTTGAGCAGTAGTGGGCTCGAGGCCCATAAAGGAATAGTCAAGCAGGGCCCAAGGAGGAGTCGAGGGCCTCGGCGGGGAACCCGAGGAGGAGTATGGGAGAAAGGTAACAGCAGGCGGCCGCCCTACGACAAGACAGGGACTAGGCCGCCTGACACAAGTGGCCGTTGGTGTCAGAAAGGAGATCTTCCTAGGGATACCTACCTCGGACACAGCAGGAACAAGCATTAAATGCCCGCCGTAGGCGGTCTAGAAAAGGTAAGGTGCACATAGGCCGCCTGACAATAGCATTTAATGCCCATGCTCGAGAGGAGGGACTATAAATACACCGGGATTGGCATTAATGGTAACTAACTACTACTCTCTCTCTCTAAACAAACATAAGCTCTCCCTTCTCTCTCTAACTTAAGCATCGGAGAGTGTCCTGGGCGACCGCCCACGGACCCTTGTTTTGCAGGAGCTTGGAGTCCCCCATCATCCTGATCAGACGCCTTGCTCGTTCCATACAAACCGCCTAGCACATTCTAGGCCTAAACACAATGAGAGCACAAAGAGTTGCAATCCTTAGCTAGCTAGGATTGGTAAGATTATGTGACTCAACTCAAAGTGACAGCACCACACAAATAATTAATTATCATGAAACAAACCCTACCCCAATTGGCCTTTTTTTTTGCCCCAAAATGTCATTTCCACATCATTGCCATTAGGTCCCCTTAATGTGCTGTCCCGATCTAATATGTTTTAACGCAGTTAACAAACTGCCCCCACTCACTCCAGAAACTACTATGAATGGACCAACAATTGACCCTTTTTAACCAAAACCAACAATTGTCTCTGTGAATCATGACAAATACTTCCTAGACAATCATGGAGTTTGTTTATCTAACCTTGTAATGCCGTCTCCATCAATTCCAGCCGGCGGAAGAGCCCACCATGGCTCGATAAGAGAAGCCTGCCCAGTGCCCAGCCAATTCATTCTCTGTCGTCGCCAAAAATGTTGAACTGTCACTCCACTGTCTTCCCATAATTCATCGCCTCCCTCGTTGTTGTTACTTCAAATTCTGGTTCAATCATTCTTCTATATTTAAGATAAAGGGCAGCAAAATCTCACCTTTCTTTGCATCGTCAGCAGATGAGGGGCTCTCAATTATTAGCATGACCCAGGAGAGCGATGGAGCCTTGAATTTTGATGGCGTTTTTCCGGGCACTGAAGGGAATGAACAGTGATGAGACGACGAAGGGCTGAAGCCTGGATGGAATCACGTGCCTCTCTCTTCTTCCATGTTTACTCCAGCCAGCACAGCAAGGAATTTGACACCAGAAAATGACACTCATGAAATAGTAGGGCGCAAAAAAGAAGCGGAAAAAGAAAAAAAACAGAATCCAACTGGTACTTGCCGCCCATGTCTCCCATATGCACATGCCGGCATCCATGAGTCACTGTCCCTCTAATTTCACTCCCAACAAGGCCCCCTATCCACAACAAGCAACGAACAAGAATGAACCACAAGAGCACATGCTACTCTACTGAGAGAGAGTGGAAGGGTACCTATTTTCAGGTTAAGGAGGGCGAATAGAAGCTATGGAATCCTTGAGCTGCCATTTTCAGTTCACGTTTCATGGAGTTTCCAAGAATGTCAAAGCCAGGTCTTCTTCTTCTGTCTCCTGCTCCATTCAGCCTACTCAGAGCAACATCAAGGTATATGGTTGGTTATTATTAACAGGAGGGGAAAAAAAAGAACCTTTCGTTTTCCACTTTAGTGTTTCATTCCATTTAAAAAAAAATAACAATAACAGGTAGTGAACATGGAGCAGCAAAAGAGATAGGGAGGGCGGCAGTGTTGACAGTTACCAAAGCCAGAGGAATGGAAGTTGCTGGTGCTGTTGACACCATTTTGTCGGAGAAGATATTTGAAAGGTTTTTCCTCACTGTCTTTTTACTCTTCTTCGGCAATGGCAAGTCGAATTAGAGGAAAGAATTTTCACTCTGCTTTTGTTTCTGGAGGTTAGCTATGCGAAATACCGTTGATAAATGATTGCCTTGCCTGTCCACTCGTTCATAACCATGAGTGGAATGCTAGTGAGGAACTGATAATGAGAAGCTTTCTGCAAATTATGGCAGTCCAAAGAGACGGGAGTAGTCGTCGACTTCACTGATCCTTATACGGTTTACGATAATGTCAAGCAGGATATTTTTTGCACTCTTTCCCATCAACTTCTCTGCACTGTGACATTAAAGGAGAGAGCTTTCAGACTTTGCCATTACAGAGTAGGCGTTTAAGTGTTAAGTTCCAGGAGTAAGTTGTGTTCGAATTTTGCATACCAGGCGACGAGCATTTGGGATGAGAAGTGTGGTGTATGTGCCCCGGATTAAAGTAGACACAGTAAGGCGTTGTTAGCATTCTGTGACAAGGCCAGCATGGTGAGCACAGGGTGAGAAAAGGTTTCAGATTTTATTTAGCGGTTGGTACTTTCTGCAATTAATATAAAGTTTTGTGTTTGGATTTAACCCTCTTTTCTTTTGAAGTAAATCTTATATATGAGAGTTCAAGTAGTGGTTCTCAAACTTACAGGGGTGTCTGGTAGCACCACCTCTATCAATCCGATCGATTGTCCTCCAACGAGCAGCTATTTCAGCTTCCTTCCACTACAACAATGTTGAAATCGGGGAATCAGCAGCAGATGCAACTGTAAGAACAGTATGATTTCAGTAATTAACACTAACAACACCAGCCATGCTAGTCTAGTAAACAATACAGCAGAACTTGTCGATGAATAAAACTCTTCCAAGCCTTCTCCAGAAGACAGAATAAGGTTCAAGAGCACTGACCTCGTACGAGAAGAGTGAATAATGTAAATTTGTCTCTCACGTGCAGGACCTCCCATCAGCAGATGCGGTCCAAATTGCCCAAAAAACCTCTCCAATCTGGGGCAGACGGTAAGCTGAACTTCAAAACACCAAAACAAAACAGACACCAGTGACGTTAAGTACTGAACACCTCATTTCGCTTACATTTCCAGCTGGAACTGATGGTAAAGATAAAAATAAAAGGCTTTTATACCAATCAGCAACCACCACAATGGAAGCTGAGTAGACAACTCCATTCCATTTTATCCTACATAGGCAAGGGGACAAGTTCTTGGTGAAGATGGGGTCAGGGTGCACATTATGATACTACCAGGTCAGCCTTCCGGCACAACAGTTTACTTCTCTGGACAAGGAGAGGTTTGTATCTGGTCAAACATGAGAAACATTATTCTGCAACTGCATCTGTAGCTTAGCACATCCGAATTCATGTTCCTTAACCCACAGATTTTACTCTGTCAAGCATGACATAACAGGCGTGCAGAGCCTTATGCCTGGACTAATCTTGGCAATTAGAAAGGTGATCCGTCTGATGGTAAGATCCTCTCTACTTTCCACTGCTCGATTGAGACGCTGTATTGACATTTATGCATTCCAAAGTACACTATTCTATTGTTATTGAGGCAGAATCTGGTGTATGGCCTGGAGAAATTTTTGTAGGAAACTACTTATTCCCTCAGCACTGGAAGCAAACTAGCGGCCGAAGAAAACACATCTTCCGCAGACCAGGCTTTTATAGAAAGCGAAAGCAGAAAGCAGAGCAGGATACTATTTAGTAGATAAATGAGTATTCTAAATTCATTTCTGTTTCACAAGAGGAGCGATTAAACAAGATAGCTCCAAGGTGCCTTCAAACCTCCAAAATTTTGGCCCAACCTCTCTAATTATTCCATTTCAGAGCAACAGCTTCAGCCAGTTATTGACATTTTGAGGTTTACTGTTAATAAAAGTGCACAGTATGATACTGCCTACATTCCCTAACTAATATAAGAATACCAGGCATCTTGGTTTTGGAGACACAATAAACCATATTGAGATGGTCGCCATTTGCCACAGAAGTATGAAGTGCCAGTGGTTGGTAACTCAGGGTGCTCCACCACTAAGGTTTAAACTGAACAATTCTAAAACTGCACACTATCACAATCCAGCAATATGTCACATTTCGACACAAAAGCTAACAATTCTAAAACTGCACAGTATTACAATCCAGCAATATGTCACATTTCGACACACAAGCTCTCACCTCTAAATTTGTTCGCAATTGCTCTTATCCAAGCTCTGTCTTTCTCAGTATAGGCATACTCCATGTTTGAAGCCAATATAACAAATCCTCTGTTCTTTATCATCTCAATGCCGCTTCCATCTCTCGATTGAAGCACCGGCACCACCAGCAGTGACCGAGTTCCATTGGGCAGCATCTCCCAGAGTTCAGATCCTGATACAGGAGAACAACGACAACATCGCCACATTAGTTCTGGGTTTTGGAAGTCCACCCTTGAAAGTAGACCAAGAAATAAAATAAAGAGTCTAGTCCGCAGTATACCTGGCACCTGGGGAAAATATAGGACGTCTTTCAAGTCCCCCAAACCAATATTCTCAATCTGTCTCTGGAACCAATCAAGGATAGGAGCTTTTGCAGTGCCGTTGTCATATGGCACATTCCAGTACCCACGAACACATAATTCTCCTTGGATTGATATCAACTGCAAATGCAGAACAGAACCAAAAGGAATTAGTCGTCCATGTGCTTGCAATCTTTCATCGGTAGAGCTGGGAATGCAACCTACCACAGCTACCGTATTAGTATTGCGCAGTAAAACATAACTCCCCCAAGCAAATTCCTCCTTCTCAGAGTCAGAAATGGTAGGCGACATGACAAAAATCTGCTGAGTACCTTCAGGAAGAGCAACCTGGTCCACCCGAGTGGCACCCTGCTCGGGCGAAATATTCGCAGCACACACCATAAAAGTCATTTCCAGATAAGGATTGGAAACGGCTTACATACAAAAGGCAGAATAGTAAACAGAACTGACCTTAAGAAATCTGCCGAAGTAAGGCAGCGCGACGGAGAAAGCTGCCAAGGAAAGCCCCAAACCCTCCGTCCTCTAAAAAAACCATAGAACCCACACTCAGAATTCATACCTACAGTCTACACAGTTCCAGAATTCCATCACTAGCAATTCCACGGCGGAGAGAAAAAAAAGAGTAAATCAATCGCTTACCAGCTGCGCCGAGGTAGTAGAGGAATCGGAGCCGGCGAAGTGGTTCAATAGAAGAAGTGAACCGAATCCGTAGCCTATCCATCTCGGCAAGTAGGTCTCGTCCAGCCCAGGAATTCCTATGTAGTCAAACAAGACAGCCATTAATAGCCAGCGAAGGTGAGGAGATGGAAGTAAACAGGTGCCCTCGGTCCACTTTACCGAATGTGAAGCGGAGAACGGATACGTTGAGCTGGTCCTGCTGATCTTTGCTCGTCGGAGAGCCGTCCGCGCGGATTGCGATGGGCTTTCTGGTCCGATTGGAAGGGAGACGGCAACTGCTGTATCCCAACTGAATTAACGGACCAATTGATAGGCTGCCCATTTTTCTTTCTTTCTCCGATTGTTAGGCACCTCAGAGAAATGTCGAATTGTTTCTCTGCAAGACGACTCGGGTTCAGTCGTAGAGAGAGGGAAGAGGAGAAAGGGATTATGGGCCGACACCGAGCTTCGGCCCATTATTGAGTCCGCCTCTTGGTTTGTGGGCCGAGCCCATATGCGGGAGAAAAGAAAGGAACCAATAATACAGGTCGCCACTCGCCAGGTCGTGGCAAAATCGGGTCAAGTCAATAAAGTAGGGGGCTTTTAATAATAGCCACAACATAAATTCCGCTGGCGCCTGCTCCACCACCGCAGATTTATTAATGTGGGAATTGATCGCACGGCTGAGATTAATTGGTCAAAAAGGAGTTGAAAAAAAGGCAGGCCATGTAGCGTAGTGAGTTTTGTCCATGTCGACCAATGGGGAGCTCCTGCCCATCAAACTAACACCTCTCTTCGGTGCAAAAAAACATACATTAATAGAAGTTTTAAGGTTTTATTAAGTGAATAGGCTCGGAGTAATCATCTTGAAAAGTTATGCGAAATGAAAAGAAAAATCGCTATGATCGGATACCCGAGTGCAAAGTTACATTCGTTTGAAGTTTCGGTCGAAGTTAGAAGTTGATCGGGAAAAAAAAAATTTTGGACCAAACCGCTGGGTGGGGTGGCGGTTTGGCCCAAAATCGCCGCCCCACCCAGCAGTTTTTATAACCACCCCTTAGCCCAGCGGTTTGCGTAGAAAACCGCGCTCCTGCCCAGCGGTTTTCGTGTAAACCGCAGGGTGGGGTGACGGTTTTTGAAAAAGGCTGGTATTTTTGAAATTTTTTGGGGTTGGGTGGTATTTTTGGAATTCTTTTTTTAAACAGTGGTATTTCTGGAAAAAGTCCAGAAGTTTTAAGGTTTTATAAAGTGAATAGGTTCGGAGTTATGATCTTCTAAGTAATTTGGATGTGGCTGTGTTTCTGTGTTGCATTGTGATACGATGGATGAGAATTATCACATTTTTTTATTGAATTTCTTTTCGAATTTGGATTTAGAGAATCGGGACATTAAGTTTATCAAGTAGATATTATGGTATGATATTACGTTTCAAACTCCACTAGCATCAATATCGTCACTATCATCAATATCGTCACTATTATCAATAAGAAAATCCTTAGGCTTGATTAAACTCATAATTTAGATAGTGATATATTATTATGAGTATCATATACTTCAGAAATACAATGAGAAATACATTGATATATAATTATGCCATCCACTGATCTAGAGCTAGTATATCATTTGTAAATTTTCGATTTTAGGTATTCGTTTCATTATTCGTTGGGTTACGGCCCAAATTTTTTTTTTGCCTCTTTTTCAAATATGGCTCAGTGCTCTATCCTATCCGGGATCCGTCGCTGATGTCAACCAAGTTGGGATTCGAGTTACCATTCCTATCCTACTTTGTTATTCGATCTATCACCAAATAGAAGAGATAAGAAACATAAAGCAAAATAAATGTATGTTGCCCAACTTAATTTTAGAGTAGGCTCTAGGGATGGCAATGGGTCGGGTACGGATAGTGCATATCCTTTATCCTACCCAAAATAGTTCCGGTTTTACCCATACCCACATAAGAAACGGGTAGAAAATCAAAACCATGCTCATACCCGTTTGGGTTTCGGGTATCCACGGTTATATTCACATGTATTCTTACATTATATAAGACAAAAAGTACGACAATAATTCACTAGAATTAAGAAAATGCATTAAAATAACACAATTTCATAAACAAATTATATTTATATGCTAATTTAAAATATGTTAAAGAAAAATAATGATTATTTCTAGACAAAATACATATGTATGTGTATATCGGGTGGGTTCGGGTTGGATAGTGAGAAAACCATGCCCCACCCATTACCCACAATATTCGGGTTCGGGTTTTAAACACACCCGCTAAAAATTCTTCGGGTTCGGGTTTTACCCTACCCGGCAAGATCGAATTCGGGCGGATATCCACGGTTACGGATATTTTTGTCATCCCTAGTAGGTTCTGATATCATTGTCAATAACCAGTTTTATTCCAATAACTTTAATTGCTAGGAGATATTTAATTATAAATCGTATACCATTTACTAACCCTATGCTACATTACTACATCAACGCATGTTCAGACTCGATGCTACATGTCCTCACTTACATAATCCTGGCATGGAAAAGAGATTCAGTTGTTGCTACCATTTCATACTCTTTATTTATTGTTCTTTTGTTTGGTAATCGGCACCTATCTCTTTCTTTCCGCAAAACACATAGCAAAGTTTAAAGAAATGGTACAATAATCTCCATGGGTTTTTGCTTAAACAAACCAGCCGCAACCACTATTTGACAATGTGACGACACTTTTCAAACTCGCTTCGGGATTTCTTTTGGTCGGGAAAACACTTGATTATGGCCTTAACTTGATGTGGAAGAAATGTCTCTAAGAAAAACTATTACCGATTGCTGATAGATCTTTTCAGTTAGAGAAGGCAATGGATGAAATAGTCAATCTGAACTCTGGCCAAGACTACTGGAAACATTTAATATACATATTCATGAATCATAACTCAGTGGAGAAATTGCCAACACCAACTATCTAAACTTACTCTTTAAGTAACACGTATATGTGTTTTTATTTCAGAAGCATATATATGTATATTTGTAGAAGATGATTTACCGCCTTTTACAAAAAAAGACGCTACCTCTCAATTAAAGAGTTTGGGTAATGTTCATAGGTCATACAAAACCCAAAAATATATACTTGAATTCGAGGTATGAAACATATGTATCATAAACTATACGAATGGCCCTTGTTAACTAAGTAATCAGTCGTCTTATTGCGTTCTCTGTAAGCGTGAGAGATTATTACCTCCCATCTTCTTTGGATCAGTTCCTGTAATTGTTGGATAAGGTTGTAGTACATGTTGTTCTTCCTCCGACGGCTCCCATAAAAGTTATGTGGTCGAATTCGAGCATGGGGTTGTATGTACCAGCTTGTCACTCACATGTGCTTGAAGGGCATTTGTTGTCCATTTCTTTATTCTCTCTACCAACACTAAGTCGACATGTGCCTTGTGTTGGAAGATCGCCACGTTCCTTATCTTCCAAAGGTACAACGCAACTATCATGAAAAGGAGGCAATGCTCCTCACCCTTCATATGAGATGCCATCCAATTTGTAAACTCAAGAGCAATATTTAAGCGGTTATCTTCAATCCCCAATTGTAGTCATATATCTGTTTGGTTATTGCGCAGGAACGGATAAAATGATTACTGGATTCTGATCCTCCTTTACATAGCTCCCATGTATTGTTGTTGAGCTTCTTTCTTTTCCACTCACAATTGGTCATTAGTGTGTTATGGAAGACATGTCATATGAAGTGTTTTATTATGAGCGGTCTATTTCACTTCCCAAAATTCTTCCAATGAGGTTGATCGTTGCCTCGATTGTCCTCCTTGTCATCATGTTGAACCACTCCACTGCTATTGTGTAGGCTGATCATAGTCGAAAGCGACCATCAACTTCCATTCCCCAATTGTTGTGTCTTCTCTTAGTGTGTCTCTAAATGGTTCAGTTCTTGCAATGAGAGACAATATCTCATTAGGAATGTATGGTGTGATTTTACTCCAAATCCACCTACGTTCCTCCACGGTTAACTCAACCACCAAAGCTTCTGGTCAAAATTACCTCCTCTATTGCTGATAAAGTCACCTAGAGAAGTCCTACCAATAAGCTATTTCCAAAACTTAACATTCCGACCATTTCTGATTTCCCATATCACTTTCTGCTTGATCAAAGGCCAAGTTTCAACAATAGCCTTCCATAATCTTGAGGGTCTAGTATGCTCTTCATGATCGTAAAACCCATACTCATTATCCTTAAAGTACTTCCCCTATAAGACATTAACACAACTCATTTTCATTATCAGAAAGGTCCATCCAAGTTTCATAATGTAAGCCAAAATTAAAGCTCCGGCTGAACGGGGGCTTAGTTTACCTTTTCGTTGGGTTTACAAATCGTCTCCCACGGCACCAGATGTGTCTTGACTTTCCCATCCTCTCTCCCAGATGAAGCTATAGATTTTCCTGTCGATAATATCACAAACAGAAATAGGAAGGACAATAGTCTTAGCCTGCATAATATAATTCAGCCTACTCCTCAACCCTTACACCGTCTTCTTTTTGCAACCAACTAACATTTTCTTCCTTCTTCGGGTCAATGTCGCATTATGGAATGACTTCGTGCTCTTGAGAAATCTCTTAAGGCTTAGACCTTGGTTCCAGTTCAGACTTTAAGCATATAGTAACAATATAGTCGTATGGCGATTAAGGAACTATTACAAAAGTTCTCTATAAAGGCAACTTGGAAATTAATAAGGCCTAGAGGTTTGAGAGTTGACTGATATAAGGTGCTAAAGGAAAAGTATGTAATCACAAAACACGGATTTCTGACCTAGTTAGTGATTATTAACCTAATAAAATACGAGTAAAGTTGAAGGAATTGGGATCTATTGACTCTGAAGAATGTCTACTTTCATAAGCAAAACTCTGCCCTTATTTATGTGTAATCATGTACTCTCTTTTCTCGAGTGTGGCGTGATCTGGTGATTGGAGGGCATGTTGGAGACAATTTTTCACCTTGGTTATCAAGGATCAGTGGATAGGAACCTCGCGGGAGGGTTGTGGTATAGGGATGTAGCGATCCTTTGATGAGAAAGATGCAACAAAGTTTTCCATTCTCCCAGTAGAAGCAATGAAGAGGTAATGAAGAGGTGCTCAAGCACTTTGCGGAGGAGGTTCACCACTATAGCCTTTGAAATGTGTAAAGATTGATTTTATGTTTGACATTTAGTTTTGTGTAAGCAATTGGTGGTGGGTAGACAATTTGTAAATGTTGTAGTTGCAGTGATATAGAGTCTACATGTACGACTATTGTTTTTTTAGAAACTTGTTCATCGTTGGTCCAAGTTGGAGCTGTAATAAGAACAACAATAATTATCGAAAGAAATATTACCATTACAAACGTCCCCCCTATCAAACCTACAAATATACGAGAGAAAATCAGATTCAAATTTATATATTACCATGTCCAACCGTTTTCCTCAATTGAATTTAACGAGTCATATCGCTTTCGTTTTAAGTTGAAGTTCAAAAAAATTTACACAGAAAAATATGATGATTCGTGCTCATTAAAATGATATCTACTTTAATATATTTTGGAACAAAAAAATATGAGGCATTTATTACTAGCCTATACCATTGAAGTAATGTTTGGTAATATTTAAGATTAGACCATGGTGGTATGGAAGTGTACCATTATTGTATGAATATATCATTAGGGGTGATAGTCGGTTCGGTTACGGTTTAACCGAACCGACAGGGCGGTTAACCGCAGTAAATTACATGCCCAAACTCCCAACCGAAGCCGACGCCGATACACAAGATCGGTTATCCGACACCGAAACCGCAATCGTCGGTGCGGTTAGTCCGCAAAAAGTGAATATAATTGTCAATTTGGGGATTGAGGGCCTATTATTATTCCTCTCCCGCAAATCCTTCACTCTCCCTCTCCTTCTCAATCTCCGATCTGCCTTCCCCAAATCCCTCTCTCTCTCTCCCCCTCCTCCTCTCTCTCTCTCTCTCTCTCTAACCATCTAAAGCCCCTCAATCTCCGATCTGGAAGGCAGGGAGACAACCGACGTTGACCTAGGAAGGGGAAGAAGGACATGGTAGCGGCGAATCTAGAGTCGGTGGCAGAGGACGAAGAGAAAGAGCCGTCGAAGGTGGAGGCTTCAAATCTTTCCAGTTCTCGTCCACCTCCAAGGCTGAAGAAGGCAGGGACGACGGCGGCGATATGCACTCAATCTTCACGGGCATCGACCCTCTTTTCCTTCGTTTGATGGGTCTCGATTGTCTCCACCTTCTAATCGGCGGAGGCGACAACTTCGGCGGAGAATCAGAGTGAAATATTGTGTGGTGCATGTCTGATTGGGGCGCCGAGGTTGGGATTGGGGAGATGGGGATGCCGATGTCGAGATTGAAGGACGAGGTGGGAGGCCAGATCTGGTAGAGGTCGAGAAGCTTCTGGATGGGGCGGAGCAGAGGGTGTCTTTAGCCTTCTATTTCATTCGACGGTTACTTATCGGTGCACCGAGTTTTCTCGGTTAGCCATCGTCGGTTTCCGGTTATGGATATCGCCTGAAAATGGCAACCGACGCCGACCCCGAACACAAATAATCGGTTTCGGTTGAACCTATTGACCGCGATTTTCGGGCCGGTTTTCGGTTTAACCGAATAACTGGCGACGGATTAACACCCTTATATGATAGTATAAGAATGATTATATACATGATAGTAGGAATATTCAAACACTCATCTAACACTTTTCATCATCACCTACCACCAAGAATCCCCCTCCCCCGGAAATTCGTAGATAATAGATCACGATGACACACGTTCTTTTAGTGCAAATTTTTTCAAAATGTGAGTTAAAAACAAAGCTGGTGTGGAGTAGTACCAGTGTGGTAACGAGTAATAATGTATGTTACGAATTTTTTTACTAAAATATATTATTCCGTACATCATAATGAACTCGTACCATCTTATGCAAAAAAACTCAAATTCCAAATTAAAATAAAGAAGATACAAATTTATTAAAAATGGGGAATTAAAAAAATGAAACCAAATCCTTAGATTTCACTCACTCACAATCAAGAATATTTTTTTTTACAGTAAATCAAGAATTAAATTCGATTGTGTACAAATGCATAGCTACATCCTATCGAGAACCAAGTAAATTATCCCCCTTTTTGCGAAAAAAATGAAATAAACTATACTACAATCAACATGCTAAACTATACAAATAAAATAAAATAAAAACAATTAATAAACTGTCCAGCTATATAGATTAGGAGTATCGCGGATCCAATAGCCTGCACCGACAGCGTATCGAAATCCCGTGCACACCATCCGTACGTCACCCCACGTGGATCTCCCTACCTCTCATCATCACCATCACATTTCCGATTGCTCCGCTATCAACCACACATTCCACACTGATGCTGACGTGGACCTAAAAGCAAACCAGCACCCCAGGACAACGCTGCCGCACCAGATAATTACCCCAGCCATAGCCTTAACCTACACCTTTCCAATCTCTCTCCTCCCCGGAGCTTCTCCTGTCCCCACCGACCTCCCCCAGACAAAAACCAACGATCTGCCGCCACGTACCCTCGACCTCGCCTCACCACCGCTCGATCCGTCGCGGACGACGTCGCCCTGCTCCCGTCGCGACACGTGCCGCGTCGAGTAACCGGAGACAGCCAGTGACCGAGTGGGTTGGTTACTGGTTCAGCCGGTCACTCTCCCCTGCAAATCCCGCTAGGTATATAATCCGGACCCTTTCCTCCTCAAGCGCTCCCTCCCTCTCTCTCTCTTCTCTGGCAGCTCTATAATTATTTGTTTCCCACAATAAATTGATATTATTACAGAGGAAGGAAGGAGAAAAAAGTAACGCTTCGCTCTATCCAGCTCGCCGTTTCAAAGGTTAGTAGCTTGGCTTTTGGCTTCCATCTTCTCCTTCATTCCTTCTCTCTGATTTTGCATATGGAAAGTTTTATCTGCCCTTCCAATCAATTCATGCTGGAAGTCATGGAGCGGTTTTGGTATATTGATCGATCCATCTGATAGCTAGGGGGAATTTCTTAGTCGTTTTCCAGTCAATGAATGATGATTCAGCTAATTCTGTCGATCGTTCCAGTTTAGAGCTGCAAATTGGTTACTGAATTAGGTTTCTCCTGGTCGATTCGAAGTTCTCGTAGTGCCTGCAGTTTTTTTTTTTGTTTTTTTTTTGGGGTGTTCTCTTTCTCTTCCTGGTTTGCTAGCTTTTTTTTCTATTTGTATGGTTGGTTTTGGATTGAGTTCGGACCGACTCTTGGTCTTTTGTAATGTGTGTGATTGAGGGGAAGGCGAGCTTGATTTCCTTTTACTGGGCAGATTCCTTGAGCGTTTTTTGTTGTTGTTGTTGCTGGTGTGCTATTTGGTTTGGGAATTTGGGGTTCAAGGGTATGGTTGGTTAGTGTCTTTGTGGTTGAGGTTAGCTGTTTGAAAAGTTAGGGGTTTTGTAGGACTATGCAATCGATTCATTGGGGAAAGTTCAATTTCTGGAAAGGCTAGGTTCTTTGTTTTTTTTTTTTTTTTTTGTGAGTATATATTCTTCTCGCCGTGGTTGCTAATGCAATTTATTTGCTTTTGTTTCGTTCTACTTTCCTTAGATCTCTTCAATCAGCAAATTGTAGAAAGCTCAAACATACAGATCACGAAAACTTGCTCCTCTCTTTTCCGTCCACACAAGGGCTTGTAGAAATTGGCCAAAAAATATTACCAGTGATGAGTAGCCCAATCTGTGCAGTTGGATTCGGAATTTGACTCTTATTTTGTGGTGAACAAATTTAGGGGTCTCGTGTGTGTTTGTGATATTGAGCTCATTGAACATATTTCAGGCCCTGGCTCTGGAGAGCTACTTAGACTCCAGCCACCAGGGAGGAGTGCCTTACATGGCACCATCTCGTGTGGCTGGAGGGTTAGCCCAATCATCCTCAAGTTCTGGAATTTTCTTTCAGGGGGATGGGCACTCCCAGGCTATAGCTAACTCTCACTTAACCTCATCATTTGGGAACTCATCCAGTTCGATTCCTGGGACTGGGCGTCCCAACCTCGTTCCAGTGTCCGGGGATATGAATAATGCTGTTTTAAACAGTGTGGCAAATTCTGGGCCAAGTGTTGGGGCAAGTTCATTGGTGACTGATGCGAATTCGGGATTCTCTGGAGGAGGCCCTCGCTTGCAGAGAAGTGCCAGCATTAACACAGAGTCATACATGCGCTTGCCAGCTTCCCCTATGTCATTTTCTTCCAATAACATAAGCATCTCTGGGTCTTCAGTTATCGATGGTTCCTCGGTAGTGCAGCAAGGGAATCACCAAGAGTCTAACGCACCACAGCAGCAGCAAACTCAGCAGCAGCAACAACATGGGGCTTCAAGCGCTACCTCTTTACCCACATCACAACCTGTGCAAATGTCACTTCCAATGGGTGGACGTGCTCCTGGATCTTATCTTCAAGAACCTAATATATCACAGTTGCAAAAGAAACCCCGGTTAGATATCAAGCAGGAAGATATTCTGCAGCAGCAGGTGTTGCAACAGATGCTGCAGAGGCAAGACCCCATGCAGATGCAAGCACGTAACCCACAGCTACAATCACTGCTTCAGCAGCAGCGACTGAGGCAGCAGCAGCAGCAGATTCTCCAATCTATGCCACCGATGCAGAGAGCCCAATTTCAGCAACAGCAGCAACTGCAGTTGAGGCAGCAGCAAATGCAACCACAACACCACCACCTACAGCAACAACAGGCCATGCAGCCGGCATCTGTTCCTGTTAAGCGTCCCTATGACGGGGGTGTGTGTGCTCGACGAATGATGCAGTATCTGTATCATCAGCGACAGAGGCCAGCTGTGAGTATCTATCTTACTACATCCCAAATGCATGTGTATTCTGATCAATGGTCGTCTCTCTCTCGCAACCCTTTCGGTCAAGGATTCTCTTTCAATCTAACCATAGAGTATTGAGAAAATTTCATATCTAATTCTTCTTGCTTGTCCAGGAGAATACTATTGCATATTGGAGGAAATTTGTAGCGGAGTACTATTCCCCTCGAGCAAAGAAGCGGTGGTGCTTGTCGTTATATGATAATGTTGGGCATCATGCACTAGGGGTATTTCCCCAAGCAGCAATGGTTTGTTCTTTTTCCATAGGAAAATCTATGCTTCCTATTATGCTAATTTGGCTGTTTTCCATTTTTTCATTGATGTAGAAGAGCAGTGCTATAAATGATAGGTCTATGTAGTTATCAAGTGCTTCAGTTTATCTTTCATCCACACTATTACTGCTTCACCTTCTTTTAGCTGAGTTTTTTTTAACAACCTTGAAATTTACAAGGTGGGTTTGTTTACATTTGGAACTTTCTTAACTTCTTCTTGTGTTATCTTCAGGAGGCATGGCAGTGCGACATCTGTGGTTCAAAGTCAGGAAGAGGATTTGGTAGGTGGATATGGCAACATTTGGTTTTTTATCTGGCTAGGATCGGCTTGTTGGAAATTATGGATGTAATCCTTGACCACTTGACCATGTTTGGAATTGAATTTCTAGATGACATCTGTTGAAAACTTGAGTTTTCGCCAAGATAAAGTTTCATAGCATACAGTCTAGCATTCATATGATGACTTAATAATATTGATTTTTAGCACTATCTGCTTTTTCCTCCTTTTGTAGAGGCTACTTTTGAAGTGCTACCTCGACTTAATGAAATCAAGTTTGGCAGTGGTGTCATCGACGAACTTCTGTTTTTGGACCTGCCTCGTGAATGTAGATTCTCTTCTGGAATAATGATGCTGGAGTATGGCAAAGCAGTTCAGGAGAGTGTATATGAGCAACTTCGTGTTGTTCGTGAGGGTCAGCTTCGTGTTATATTTACCCACGATTTGAAGGTCAACAGCAGAGCATCATTTTTCATGTGCTGAATTATCAGTTTCAAAGTACAATTGAATTGATCTGCTGTTTCTTCTGCGGATTCCAGATATTGTCCTGGGAATTCTGTGCACGGCGCCATGAAGAACTGCTTCCTCGTAGAGTGGTAGCTCCTCAGGTATTACTGTTTCCTCGTTGGATTGGAGTTCTATTTTCTCTTCTAAATATCTGATGCCCCAAATGTTCTTGGCTCCTAGGTTTAAATGCTATATATCGACTCTTCAAGAGTCAAAAGCCAGGAAATGTTCAAGATAAAATGTTGGAATCAACCTCACATATATCCTGTAAAATCCTTTCTGGAAAGTGATGGCTTTTGAAACTGGAAGAGACTCCAGAAAGTTAACACAAAAAATATTTAGTTGAGTTACTTCTATGGGAGAATCAGTTGATCCTCGCTATTAGCAAAAGGACTTGAGAGGGTATGGAGAGGTAGATGAAGTTAACGAACCTAGGAAACTAACCATAAAAGAATTTGAAGGGGTATGTAGTCCGATAATATTACCAAGGCTAGGAAAAAACTATAGCTCAGTACCATTCTTAGTTGGTTGTTCTACCTGCTTTTATTAAAGTGGATCTCTCTGGTCTGTTCTGTTTGGATTCTCAACTGCTGCTTGTTCTGTTTCTTCTCCATTCTCGTTTTTTGTTTGTTTCCTATTTGAAAACAACTTGAAAGTCAGGTTCTTCTTTAAACAGGTAAATCAGCTGGTACAGGTTGCACAGAAATGTCAGACCACTATTTCTGAAAGTGGACCAGATGGAGTTTCACAGCAGGATCTCCAAACAAGTAGTAATATGTAAGCTGACTTTGCCAATCACCCGACTGTTATTGTGTATATATATTTGGGTCTTCGCCAGTCACCTCAAGCCTCATGCGTCCTTTTGTTTAAATTGAAATATCAGAGATTAATACCAAATGACCAACCTTTTTTATTAGTATCTAGTTTTACTAAGTAGCATGCTCTTGCCGCTGCATAGGGTCCTGACAGCTGGACGTCAGCTTGCTAAGAGTTTGGAGTTGCAGTCTCTGAATGATTTGGGATTCTCCAAAAGATATGTTAGATGTTTGCAGGTATATTTCATTGCTTATGAGAATTCATCTTCATCTACTGTTTTGTTGTGTCATTCATAATTCCAAGAATCTTACTTTTCTTGCGGTTTTGATATTATACCTTGTGGCAGATCTCCGAGGTAGTCAATAGCATGAAGGATTTGATTGATTTCTGTCGCGAACAAAAAGCTGGGCCAATTGGTAAGCCTTCTTTCTTCAAGATGCTATTGCGCATGCCTTGTCCATTCTTTCAGTAGAAGTTTAGTCATTCTTCAATAATCCATGGAGGAAGTCTTTCAAGATGACGCACTTGCTCGGAACAACTCTCGAATTGATATGAAGATTATCTGGAGGCGTCCCTCTGGTAACTGCTAACAAAATTCAATTTTACTTGCAGAGAGTCTAAAAGTTTACCCTCGACATAATAACTCCGTAGCCAAGCTCCAGATGCAGAAGATGCAAGAAATGGAGCAGCTGGCAAGCTCTCAGGGTTTACCCACTGACCGGAACACCCTCAATAAGCTGATGGCATTGCATCCCTCCGCCGGAATAAACAATGCCATGAACAGCAACAACAACAATCACCACTTGGTTAATCGAGGAGCGTCAGCTTTAAGTGGTTCGGCCCAGGCTGCACTGGCTCTTTCCAACTACCAAAATCTTCTCATGAGGCAAAACTCCATGAACTCAAACTCCAGCTCGCTTCAACATGAGCCTCCATCATCTTCCTTCAACAATAATTCCACCCCAAGTCCATCTTCCAACTTTCAAGGCCCTGGTGGTTTCCCACCAGGAGGACCCATGCATAACATATATCAACAACAACAACAACAACAGCGTTCATCAAGTTCTAATAATTTGCTCCAACAAAACCATCATCAACAGAGCCCACAGGGCAGCAATCAGGCCTTGGAACAGCAGATGCTACATCAACTATTGCAGGAGATGTCAAATAACAGCAGCGCAGGAGCTCATCAGCAGCGTTCGGTTTCTGCACAGAATGGGAATGGTGGTCCCGCAGGAAGGAACAGTGTGGGCCCTGCAATGTCTGGAGGTGGGCCTGCTGCAAGCCGGAGCAACAGTTTCAAAGCTGCTGCTGCTGTTTCAACCAGTGATTCGTCTGCTGGTGCTGGGGGTGGCGGCGGTGGGTATAATAGCAATAGCAATAACAATCAAAAGGTTGGGGATTCGCCTAGTCAGAATTTGCAGCAGCTGCAGGATGACATGCAAGATATCGCAGCCGAGTTTTCGGATAGTGGGTTCTTTAACAGTGACCTTGGCGATACTATGGGCTATGACTGGAAAGCATAATAACCCAATTCTGGTTTAGCTCTTAGCTTAGCTGTTTGGTTTTTAATTGAATGAGTTTTTTTGGACATCATACATTTGTACAGAATTGCTATTAGCCTCTTTCCCCTGAACCGTTTGTGCCGACTTTGAAGGGATCAAAAGTATTGTGCTTTACTAGGTAATTGCTGCCCTTACCCTGTGTTTCGGATCGTGCAATTTGTAATGTACTATGATGAAAACAAGTAAGCTAATATGATAAACATTTTCATTATTACCAGTATTCTATGAGAACGAATACCCACATAGTAGAAGCCATAGCACAGAGACGGATTCAATTAGTTCATGCCTGATGATTGACGACCAGTCACAGATACTACAATCTCCACATTCAGGAGCTAGCTTGGTGGGAGGCGTTACCTTGATCCCTTGTTTCTCTTCCCAACAGTCTGACAACAAAACTGCGCAAAAGAGAAGCTGCTATTCTTCTCCCTCTTAGTGATGCACTGGCCGCTTCACTAGATTCTGCTTCTGGAATATACTCCAAGGTGCACTCTCCAGTTGAGTCGATTAGCTCAACGCCGAATGGTTTCATGAGCTGCTGTCCAGCTGCTTGAACATGGGAGAGACTGCAATCACAGCATAAAAACTGCACGTGTCAAGTGTCGTGAAGCTAATGGAATGAAGAGGTTTCCTGTCTATGGAGAGGTTTAGTAGTCGTGCAGAAAAAATAGAACATGTAAAGCCTGGGAAAGAGGGAGCACCAGATGTAATGTAAACCATCTACTTCTTGTCTCTGAGCTCTGCCTAGTAGCTCTACTTGCAGAATCCCACCTATGCAGAGAACTGGTTTTGGTAGCTTAAACTTTTGCAGTCTGCTTTCCTGCAGACGAGGCTGACAAATTGAGTATGCAAGTTGAAGGAAGAAAGGGATGAAGAACTAGTTTAGCAATATATGAAAAGCTAAGAATTCATGCATAACTATAACATTCCTAGAACTTCCTCCTTTACTGTTTCTTCTCAGACAGGACTGCATGTATCAGAAGAAACTGATAATTGACATACAAATTTAACTGCAGCAGCTTAATAAAACCAAATGTGGCAAGACGTGCATTGGCAGAAGCTTCAGAAAAAAGCCAATCGTAGTTAGAATTAATTACCTGAGCCATGGGAAAGTCAGGGGAGGTGTAAGTCCAGATAAAATGGTCATCTCTCGGTCTATGGCCATAGGTAACGATCGCTATATCATCCTCCAACCCCATTGGGAACTTGGAATGACCGAGCCTAAATCGAACACTTTTGGATGCGTATATAGGGAATCCATACTGAAAGTAGGCTGATACACCAAACCACCACGCCTTTATGACTCATCATTCCCATAATCTCATTCTCACAACATGATAAAGTGAAGGCAAAACAATCAATTACCTTGAAAAGGCTGAACAAGGATTTCGGTAACAAGACATAACTTGGATGCCAACTTGTAAACTAATCTTTCAGGAGCGTCAGCATCAGCTTGACCTTTACTAGACCAGTAGGAGGCTTGATCCTCAACTCTATCGCCTGCCTCCAAGGTATTCTGAATCGTCTCTTCCGGGTAATTATCAGTGCTGGACGCACAGATTGCCTCCGAGATGCAGTCTTTCGTCACAAATGGAGAAAGACCACGAGCCAGAAAAGCGTACACTCTATGATTCCTCTTGAGCCACTCCCAACTCCTCCTACAAGCACTAACCCGGCCAACCGGTTCAATAAGATCATTCACTTCAATGAGATCAACGTTGCTACACATTCCAGGAAACTTCCTCAAACAGAGCTGCTTGCAGATGCCATGTTCAATCACTGCCAAACCACAACAACAATACTCTTTTACTTCTCGAACAATTCAATTTCACGAAATCGAACAAATGTGCAAGCAGATGAAAACAGTCGATGCATACCAAACCGGCGCCAAGAACTCGAAACAGCACAAAGGCGAACGAGATCAGAAGGGTCATTTAAATGCATCAGAACCTGAATCAGCATGTCAACTCCAAGCCACTGCATCAGGTCGCCACGCTTTTCCCTTATCTGGACCATTGTTAAAACACCGAGCAAAGAAGCCGTCTGCAGTCAAGCAAGACCTAGCAATTGAAGAAGCCCACCTGAATTAATCAAAACCGAACCCAGTTCTCCAAACTAGAAACCCACCAACAGTCATCAGCCTAAGCACTAAAAACCTGCTGCAAATTCTCAAGCAAACCCGAAAGTTCAAATCTTTTATCCAATCCCCCCAGCTACCAGCAAAAACGAATATCAAACCCAGCTGATTACAAATTCAAGCATACCAACAACAACCCAAAATTCGTAATCTACAGATCGTACCTTTCTCTGGGTTTCGACAGCGGCGGAGCAGTAGCGAAAAAAGCTCCAACCTTTACGATCTAATAGTCCTCTGGGGATGAGGGAAACATGATGGGGACACGAAATCGGGAACTACAGGGCAAAGCTGAGCTGTGAATTTCGAGAGAGATCGAGGCAGAGACAAAACAAAAACAACGTCGACGCCACCACCGAATGGGACGGCTCAGCAGTAGCCAGTGGATTGCTTGAACTGAGCTAATTAAATTGAGCTAATAAAGGGATTAGATTTTAAAAAAACACTTCACCTAATCAAATATTAAACGCCGGTGGTGTTTACGGGAACTGGTCCGGTGGATATAAAATTGCACGCATCTACCGATTTTAACGGGCGGGTTGTCGCTTTCTTCTCGTCGGGTTCATCCCCGCCATTGCCAGGAACCGTTAGGTTATCGTATGGTGGATCATAATACAAACATCGGCAGAAATTATGGGGAATTATTAATTTATTATTATCGTTATTGTGGCAAACTGAAACTGCAATGTGTTCTTGTCTTTTCCCCTTTTAGTTTAATCGAGAATAAACTATGTTTTGAAGGGTTTGCATTTCATTTTAGGAAGAATTAATTTCAGAATATAGACATGACATTTAGAATTACAACCAGAAGAATAGACCTCTGCCTACGTGGAATTGTGTATATAATTATGGTTGAGGATGGCCACGTTGCATGCCATGATTAAAGGTGAAAGCAACTATGAAGCTTGTTATCATTACAGGATAACTTATAGTGGGATGTTAGTTTGCTTTGCATTTAGTTTTTTTTTTTTGGTTAGATATTTAGTTAAGAGATTTGAATCTTTGACAACGGTTGGTTGTATTACTATTAGACTAAACACTTGTTCGTTTCCTTTGAATTTGATTGTACCTGCTTCGAACAGGTGGCAGGGATTGCATAATTGTACTAGAGGATGTCCCAGAAGAACTAACAGTAAGAACTAAAATCGTGGTTCAACCGTTTTTACTGTTAAAATTGATCATCGGTAGGGTATTATTATGATTAAACAGCATATGATATTAGTATCACAAATACTGATGAATGGACAACCCAATCATGCAAAAAGAGTAGCCGGGGAGAGAGAGAGGAGGAGAGAGAAATGAAAATGGGCCCTCTATCCAAGAAGAAAGCCCAGTGGAAACTGGGCCCAACAGAAGGTAGGTGGGGGCATGCAAGAGAAGAGAGGATAAGATTTGCTTAGTCACTCTGAAGTGAAGTCAGAACCATATCTCTCCATCGTCATGGCCGACAAACCAACGGCCCACTGGGCTCTCCCTGGACCAAAAAAAACCCACTCCAGTCCAATTCCACCACCTCCCCTGTCCTTTGTACTTTCCAGGGTTCCTTCCAAAGTTTCACACCCAAACCAAGTCATCGTTTTCTTTTCCCTGTGGGAACTTGGCTTGCACCCTACCTAATGGCGATGGTGTGATGTTGGGTCAGTAATAAGTTCGACGCATTCAATCGACACCAAGGTTGTCAAACCGGTTTATACCGTTGTGCCGGGTTGGCAAGTGGAATGGTACGACCGGTAGTATAACCAGTTTGTGCCGGTTCATGCCGGTCTAAAAAAATGTGAAAACAATTAATATCCAATGTATTTAATCATATATTATACATATTTGTGGACAATTTAGTTACAATCCAACAAATATCATCAACTTTTACTATTACATTCATAAAATGAATAATAAATTATTTTGTATTCATTAAATTCATTAAAATAATGTCATTTTACTTAGAATGCGTAAGTCGATCATACCGGCGGTCATACCGGTGGTGTCATGCCGGTTTCATGACCGGCACAGGTTGAACCAGATTCAACTGGATGGCATGCCACCGGCATGACAACCATGATCGACACCCTTACTAAAAAAGCACAATGGCGTAGCCAAACTTTAAGTTGATTGAAATTATGAAAAATATAATAATATTAAAACTTACGTATTTGATGGACTTTGAGTTTATTTAAGTTCTTAGATGAGCTAGCATCGACAAGAATATATATGAGATCCTAAATTAAAAGAATCATATTAATACTTTAGCATTGATTTTTCTGGTACAACCTATGATACAATATCACCTTTGCACTCGAGGGCCTAATTTCCATCCAATGAGAGAAAACCTTTGCACACTTCCGTTACCTTTTGAGAGAAAATGTATTTTTCGTATAATGGAAAATGAAACTCACGAGAAAAAGAAAAGGAACACCTTCTTCTCTCCTCCAAGCTGTAAAACCTTCATAGTCAAAACTCAAACGTGTGTGAATTAAGGAACATAATCATGAAACAGACAATCATATCTTTACTTCCATGGAAACCGAATCCTTAAGAAGTCAGAAACCAGCAGAAGACGACAAGCTTCTTTTCCTTTGCACATGGAGAACAAGATCGGCCAACGTACTTCCATGGATTCTATTCAATTTAACAAACACTACATTTCCTCCACGAGCAAATTAAATTACACTAATTTTCTCTTCCATCCTTTTCACTCTGTTAATACACCTCTGCCTCACGAACAAACAGCAATGAATATAATTAATCTCACTGTAATTATTTACAAATATTACGTAATATATATATATCTTTTCCCCTTCCCTAAACTCAGAGTTGCTTCATCAGCACGCCGCCGTCACCAAACTCCTTAGGACAAACGAGGACGGAATCCAAGCACAACCCGCCTTTCGTGTGCGTACAATCAATCTGCATCATCGAGAACTTGATCCTCGTCGGAGAGTTCGGGTCGTCGACGGTGAACTCGCCGGCGCGGTAGTGGGCCCAACTGCCCTGCTCAACCAAGTAGCGCTCCGACGAGGCGGTTTGCCGGGCGTTGGATGTCGACAGCTGGAACCTGACCGGTTTCTTGTCCCACCCGTGAACCTGGTCCGAGTTGCTGACGTGTCGGCGGCCACCGCCGAACCGTTTGGAGGCGGCGGGTGGCTTGCCGAGCTGGAGCTTGAAGAAGACGGTGTAGGTGCCAACGGGGAAATGGAAGTCGTCCAATTCGCCAACCACTTCTAACCACCATGTTTGCTGAAGATACGCTATCTGTTTGAACCTGTATTATTGTAAACGTACACATATGGTCAGCAAAAGATATATCGTAGAAGAATATCAATTTTTTTCGTGACGATTGGTGGTTGTATTGAAGTATTATTTATGTGTATATCAGAGTTCTTATGCTTCAATACCACAAGGCAAAGGCTGAGTGCAATCTTTTGCTTATGACGTAATGGGAATTTGTGGAGTATGAATAATGAAATCTTTGTTATCCCAAGCTTCATCATGTTCAAGGATTGGAGGGTATTCGATTTAGATCTAAAAGGAAATTGATACTAGATCGAATCGGGTCATATAAATGACGATTTCACTATCGAAATTGACCGAAAATCAACTGATTTTATCCCGAAAAGTCAATCTGAAATCAATTCGTCGTGGGCTGGTGTGAACTAGGGATTACCCGATCCTAGTAACCATATATGTATAGGGGGTTGTGCAACAATCAAGTCCATGTCCAACCAAATGGATATTTGGATCAAATTGGACCCGAATGAACCTTAAGTACTAGTCTTATCTAAATTTCAATAAAATTTCTCAATTCAATCCTAATCGAATCAAATTAACTTTGAATATGAAATTTTCTTTGATGCTTGGTCCAATTCTAATCTCGTTTCAATTGGCTATGGACCGAATTAGACCGTGTATGATGTTAACCCTTCAAATCCAAAAGCCCTTTCCCCACCTTTTCTAACATGGCATAACTAGCTTTTCTTTTGTTATGTTATGAAGGTATATGGTCACAAGGGACCATTATTATGTCGAGGAAGGGCAGGGGGAAAAAATGAGGATTGAGAGCTACACTTCCATTGGTGGACATGAATTGGGCTCTCAACTATGTGATGGAATCTAGTACTCCACAAAAAGCTTTCTATCAACACCATAATTACACGATCTAAAACCCACTTGGGCAAAGTAGGAGGCGAATCTAGCTCAAGTAGCAACATAGTATAGTGCAGACATACATCTAATTATTACACAAGATATCATAATCCCCTATTTGGGATTTATTTTCTAGGGCACTAGTTTAATAGCTTTTGTTGGGATCAAATTAACAACAGCGACACAACGCAATTATTTCTCCATTAGGCCATAGCTATTGAAAGCTGCTGCTTAACCAAACATGAAGAAAACGCAAAGCAAAAAAAAGGGCTTCGTTACCTGGACTCGTCGGAGGGAATATGAGCCCAATATCGCCGGTCATCGATCCCCGTTATCCTCATTGCCTTGTACGAAACCGACACACAGACTTTCCCGCTGCTCTTCTCCAGCCAAACCATCTAATTTTAAAGACCCAATTTTTAGACTCCCTCATTATAAGTTTATCACAATAATTAAGGTTAATTGAATGATTTAATTAATGATATCGAGTTCATTTCCTACCTTGTTGGCGTCATCGGCAAAGCAATTGGACGCGCAGAGCCTGGAGTAAATCTCCTTCCGGCAGCTCAAGCTGCTCTTCTCCGGCGTCGTTTTCTCTCCCAGTACTTTATCCACCAGGAAATTGTAGTTGGAGGGAAGTTTCGGCTCCCAGACAAAGTCGGCCGACGAGGCGCCGCGGAACGCCCTGTTCAGCCTGGCCAGCCGGCAAATCTCCGGCGGGTCCAAGTACATGAGAATGGAGGCAACGCAGCTCTCCGGCAAGTCGCCGAGAGTGGTTCTCCCGTCGTTTCGATCAAGTAAGCCGGAGAAACCAGCTCCCATAAGAAAAAGTTTTGAACTTTAAGAGTGACCCGAGTTGGTCTGATCGGCAGGGGAGTGCAGGGCAGAAAGGTGATTTTAGATCCGGGAAGGAATTGGGAATTGGGAATTCAGGGGGTTGAATGGAAGAAGTAGCTTCGAAGGTTTAGTGGTAGAGGAGGAGGTGGTAGAGGCGGAAGGAAAGGCGGGGAGGGAAGGGAGAAGGCGGCACCATTTTCTTCCTTGCTCTGTTTCGGAGGAAGACAGGAATGGTTTAATAAATGGAGTAAGGAAGACGCGAAGAGAGGAAAAAGGGTGAGGAGAGAGGAAAGGGTTTGGGATAAAGTGAAAATTCTTTAATATCACTTTCTTTTCGTGACAAAGTACGCGCATTTTAAATGATTTAATCATTTTTTTTTTGATGAATTTATTGTTTATGTTATTTTCCAGTAAATAGTTGGATTCTTTCTTGCTTAAATATATTTTTTTTCTTCCATAAGTTATGGTCTTTTTCCAAAATCATTCCTCAATTTATTATGTCACTGTGTCAATCCCTTATTATTACAGAAAAGAAATGATGAGTACATAATCAAGTTGGTTTTGATGATCAATTTAATTTGTTGAAAATGAGTCCCGATCGAAGCGCGAGAAAGCATATAAGCTTATTTTGATACTTGAGAGTTTAATTTGAGTGGGGAAAAAAAAATTGAACACCGTTAAACTCCCTTAGATCAGTAAACTAGATTATAGCTCAACTGATCAAGCTGTTAAACTCATCCAACAAATTAAAAATTTGAACACATATTCACTTGACAAAATTCTCTTAACACACCTAAATTATTCTACCCGAATCAAGTCAAGAACCACCATACGCATTAAATAAGTAATGTAACATCATAAAAATTTAAACAGTTTTATTATGGGTCATATGTATAATATATGTCCATCTAATACATTTTTATCAAATATGTTACTGTACTATTTTTTACATTAAACATGCTCATTTATTTTGGAAAATTTATCAAATATGCTGATTTGTAAATATTCATAAAAAATCATCAACCATAGCTGAACATATAAAAAGATGTGTAGACGACCTGACTTAGGCAAATGGGACGAAAAAGTAAGTTTTGACCCTTTATTTATTTCTCTAGCTCTCGTTAAAGTGAAATTATAAGATGTATTAGAATACAAAAAGAAACAAAACATTAAAGTGAAATTATTAGGCATGTTTTAGAAATTTGTGTACCCAAATCAAGATTCAATCGTGATTGACAGTTTTTTAATGAAAATTTTAACAAAAGAGTATGTTTGATCATTTTTCAAAAATATAGAAACATATTTGATGCAGAAAATAATAGACGAACATGTTCGATAGAGTGACATATTACACTATAATATTTTTTTTATTCATCCATAATAACTAAATAAATCAACTATTTCAGGTTCTTTTTGTGTGTGTACTAGTGGAAAATAAGTGGGGAAAATGAAGAGAAATGAATGGATTGGATAAGGAAGAAAGGGCTACTAGAAAAGAGGGCGTGGGAATGAGTGTGTATTTATGGAAATGGAATATATATTATTTAGGATTTGGGCCGTTGGTTTCATTTTCCTCATCCACAGTCCACACACGGATTTGGTTTTGGTCCTCTCCTCTCCTCTCCTCTCCTTCATTAAGAATAGAATATATGCCCTAAAATAATTGAGAGGTTTAATCAAATTTAAGAATATGTGCACATTTGTAGAAATGATAGCTTTCATACCTCAACCCGTTATTCTTGCTTCCTTCTTTAATCACCTTTGTGTAGACATTGGATTCGTCGGAAGCCAACAAGTTAAAACCTTTGCTGGCTGGTAATATATACTCTTGAGCTAGCTGCAGTGCTGCACATGGCTACTACGAGTACGACGACCTAAATCGCCCTACAGATTCTAATTTAATTTTAGTACCCCCCACGTTTAGCTTTCACGGCATAGTTAATTTACTCTCAATTGCGCCTAACTCTTGATCTGAATGCACCATAAACTAATTAATGCCGGTGTTAATTACCCATTTTTTCGATTAATTAATTACTGAGAACGGGTGACAATTACCGGCGTCACGTGGAACATAGCTCAAGTCCAAAGTCGATGGGGAGATTGAGACTGGCTGGGCGAGAAAAATGATCTCGCATTTATTTAACTAAAGATGACGGAGACTTTAGTTTTAGCTTTAGGGATTAATTAATAAACCTATTAGAATTAGTTTGTCTGCCCCTTCACTATGGAACAATGACCAACGAGAATTTAGGGTTGGTGGCCGGACAACTGGCTAGAAACTATACCATTTTTTTTTGTAAGTAGGGATGATAATGAGTTTAGATTGGGTGATTTAACATTCAAACTCATCATGTGATAAAGTCGAGTTAAAGTTAGATACTGGTTCAAAACTCATCATGTGATAAGTTGAGTTGAAGTAAGGTATTGGTTCAAAATAGTAGTTGCGACGTGGTGATCCATACAAGCATACATTTTGTGTAAAATAGACAATGGCATGGTGAAGCAAGTGCTGCATTATGATGCAACAAATGCAATAGTACAAGTAATTTGAGTAAAATTACATATAATTTAGACAAAATGGATCGAGTGAAAACAAAGGAGGACCAATGCTCATCTGACATCTCATCCCGCCCCGCCGCACGAGGTGAGTACAAGCAAACACAATGTTGACGACCTGCGAATCCAACCGTACAAATTTTAATGGTTGGTGGACGGATATAATCTGGGCCCGGCAGCAGGCCCATTGTACTCGCGGCCTAAATTTGGATGTCCACTGGAAACACGTCGACGCCAACAAAGCTCGACCGCGGTTGACACGTACCTCCCGAGTCAGCACGCGTTTGCGACCGTTCACCCCAGTTCCATATCCATCGGATATTACGTGGCAGCCCTGGCTATTTTAAGACCCTAATAATTCTTGGCGTCCATTATTTTTAATATTTTATGTTAATTTCACCACTTGACTATGTGATGTTATATTATTATTATTATTGAGATGGAGAGGACGGAGCGCATCACAACTTGCGAGTCGTCCCTAATGAAATAATATTGAATGAACTCCATTATTTGGTCTTTCGTTAGTATATAAGGACGAGTGTATGATATGATACCTTATCAATTTTCATTATTGTTATTTATGGTCTTATTCGACTCGTTCAAAATCGATTTTAAGTGAAAGTTATTTGTTGTTTACTTATAATTTCGTTCTGAAACTTGATCGGTACAAGTTATGAAGCTCATTCACTAATATCATTATATATAAGTACAAATTAAGAATGCCAACGGATAGATATTTTTCGATCCATATAGTTAGGGCTGGGAAATGGTGCGGTCTGGTCCAGACCAGACCATATATACGGTCTATGGTCCAGACCAAGAGGCTGAAGTATAGACCACAGACCAGACCATAGACTATACGGTCCGGTCCAGACCACGCCTATGCGGTCTGGTTCAGTCTGGTCTGGTTCATATAGACCACACTCAACGAAAAATGAACAATTTGTTTAGTTAACCACACAAAAAATTGAACCAATAACCAAGAAAAACAATTGTGATTTCCCTTAAAACATTAATCCTAACATGCATGAATAATTTTGATACCCTAAATCTTAGTACATAACAAAGATACAAAGTAAAAGCATCCCAACTTGCACCATAACGTCGTAAACATTAACATAATGTCATATGGAGACACGATTATCTCTACTCTCTGGTTAAATGTGGTTGTGAATGAAGGAGGGACGAGATTCACAAACTAAGGTTGAGACTTGGGTGTCGTTGTGGGAGTTGGGAGAGTGGTCGAATGGGCTGTTAACACATATTGACAAGTCGGTTGGGTCCACGGTTTGGTCCGGTAAACCGCGGTCTAGACCAGACCAGACCAAGAGATCAAAACCTAAAATAATACAAACCATGGATCAGACCAGACCATACTTAACGGTCTACGGTCCGGACCGAACTGTGCGGTACAGTTTGGACCACGGTTTTTCTAACGGTCTGGTCTATTTTCCCAGTCCTACATATAGTACTGCCTCCGTTTACAAGCAATCCCATCCCTCTCTGTGTCTCTCTCCTTTATGTGTCCACCGTCCTCTTCTTCTCCCTTCTCTCTAACTCTTACTCCGTCAATGCTGCACTTTAGAGTGGAAATCAGTACGATATCGATATCCCAGTACTAAATATCGATATTTCAAATATCAAACAGCGTCCTAAACTCAATTTCAATTCCAACCCCAATCAAAAATAAATCGGTATCCCAATCTCAATCCTTAATTATTTTTCGGTATTAATGAATACCAAATACAAAATTATTTCTCTTCAAAATCACAAATAAAATATACAAACAAAAATACTTCTCCTCTGTTAGCCACTCCACAAACCATTATAAAAAATGTTGAAAAACAAAAATGGTGTGAACAGTCGTGTAAAACAAATAGGAGAACATCTCAAGCATAATCATAATAAACTAGGAAAATGTGGTGTTTAATAAGTACATTAACAAACTAAAACAACAAACTGAAATATGAGACGACTAAGTAACTCATGGACATACTACAATTAACTAAATGAGCTTGATATGAGTTATCAAATAGAGAGGAATGAGCAAGGTGTGATTAAGTGACCATCTTGGCGGTTGAGAGGTTAGTAGAAGTGAGTGAAGGAGCCTAGTAGGGAGTGATAAAATACACACAAGCTTATAATTCGGTATTGATCGGTCCCAATCTTGTAGTCTCTAATACCAAATAACACTTCAAATGCAATCCCAATCCCGTGAAATAATATGTGTATTACGCACCAAAAATTGACAAATTCAGTACGGTATTCGAGACATCCCAAATACTTATACCGAACTTCCAGCCCTAGCTATAGGTATACATGGATCGGGTGGTTCGGGTTTGGTCATTTTAATTACCCGACCCATATACTACGGTTATTGAAATATTAAATCTAAATCAACAAAAAAAAAATTGAAACCCTACGGCTTATTTATAATTGGGTTGGAGATACTTTTAATTAAAAAACCAACCCAACACAAAAAAAAAAAATTGAAACTATTCTACACTACAAAAATATTATAAACTAATTAAAATTTTAAACAAATAAATCGAGGCAAAAAGTATCCATATGCGTAAATGTTGTTTGGATTTAATGAAATGCAATTTACTTCAACATATGTCCAATTTGTTTCATCAATATTTGTCAAAATAAGCTAAAGTGATTATAAACTAACACGTTCATAATATGTTGTTCTTCTAAAATTGTAGACAAGAAAA